CTTCAAATCTGACTTTAGATTTGACATTTGACCTTCAATGACCTTCTCAAGGTCAAAAAAGGTCAAAAAGGTCTGTTTTCAACTTGCTTCAAATTGACTAAATTTTTTTTTCAAAATCATCTACGTGTTCTCAGAAATTCAAATCTGACTTAAGATTTGACATTTGACCTTCAATGACCTTCTCAAGGTCAAAAAAGGTCAAAAAGGTCTGTTTTCAACCCTTCTTCAAATTGACTAAAAAAAATTTCAAAATAATCTACTTGTTCTCAGAAATTCAAATCTGACTTAAGATTTGACTTAAGATTTGACATTTGACCTTCAATGACCTTCTCAAAGTCAAAAAAGGTCAAAAAGGTCTTTTTTCAACTTGCTTCAAATTGACTAAAAAAAAATTTCAAAATCATCTACATGTTCTCAGAAATTCAAATCTGACTTTAGATTTGACATTTGACCTTTAATGACCTTCTCAAAGTCAAAAAAGGTCAAAAAGGTCTTTTTTCAACTTGCTTCAAATTGACTAAAATTTTTTTTCAAAATCATCTACATGTTCTCAGAAATTCAAATCTGACTTTGGATTTGACATTTGACCTTCAATGAATTTCTCAAAGTCAAAAAAGGTCAAAAAGGTCTTTTTTCAACTTGCTTCAAATTGACTAAATTTTTTTTTCAAAATCATCTACATGTTCTCAGAAATTCAAATCTGACTTTAGATTTGACATTTGACCTTCAATGACCTTCTCAAAGTCAAAAAAGGTCAAAAAGGTCTTTTTTCAACTTGCTTCAAATTGACAAAAAAAAATTTCAAAATCATCTACATGTTCTCAGAAATTCAAATCTGACTTTAGATTTGACATTTGACCTTCAATGACCTTCTCAAAGTCAAAAAAGGTCAAAAAGGTCTTTTTTCAACTTGCTTCAAATTGACTAAATTTTTTTTCGAAATCATCTACATGTTCTCAGAAATTCAAATCTGACTTTAGATTTGACATTTGACCTTCAATGACCTTCTCAATGTCAAAAAAAGGTCAAAAAGGTATTTTTTCATCTTGCTTCAAATTGACTAATTTTTTTTTTCAAAATCATCTACATGTTCTCAGAAATTCAAATATGACTTTAAATTTGACATTTGACCTTCAATGACCTTCTCAAGGTCAAAAAAGGTCAAAAAGGTCTTTTTTCAACTTGCTTCAAATTGAATAATTTTTTTTTTCAAAATCATCTACATGTTCTCAGAAATTCAAATCTGACTTTAGATTTGACATTTGACCTTTAATGACCTTCTCAAGTTCAAAAAAGGTCAAAAAGGTCTGTTTTCAACTTGCTTCAAATTGACCAAATTTATTTTTCAAAATCATCTACATCTTTTCAGAAGTTCAAATTTGACTTTACAAGTTCTCAGAAGTTCAAATCTGACTTTAAATTTGACCTTTGACCTTCAATGACCTTCTCAAGGTCAAAAGGTATTTTCCAACTTGCTTTAAATTGACCAAATTGTTTTAGGTGGTGACATTTTGTCATGTTAATGCCTTGTTGCAAATTTGACAAATTCTTTCTTTTACTTCAAGTCGATTCTGTTTAGTGCCATCTTTTTTATTTCTCTCGTGTCTCCCTTTTTCAATTTCTTAATTATGGATTACTTAGCTAAACCTGGCTATTATAAAAATTAACATTGCTCACACTTAATTTTAAATATCTTTCAAGTTTGTAATCATTTTTTGTATAATTTCCGAGTTTATTATTTTCTCTTATGGCTCTACCATTATATTCTATATATTTTCTTTGCATTTCAAGTGTAATTACTATTGTAAGACTTTTATTCCAAACCTATTTTTGTTTCAAAATCATGTTCAAAATCAAGATACTTTAATATGCATTCCATATGTTTGACAAATGTGTTATATTCATCCCGAAATGATATTTATTAAACTATCTGCGTTTATTTGACGCACACACTTCAACCAATATTTTATGGAATATAATACATCATTCCATAATAACATGTTATTTTATGGAATATAATACATCATTCCATAATAACATGTTTTCCCAGGGAAAATAACAGGGAATAAAATTGATATTCAAAAAATCCCGTATCACACCCCGTATTGGATCCCGTATCAGCCAAAATCCCATATCGGAACTATCAGAAAATTTCATGAGACTTGATATTATATTCTATTATATTGTTATTATGGTATATAATGATCCATATTAGTATTATAAATTATGTCTATTTTAAAATTTGTTAATAAAAGTTGAAAATGTAATTCGATAAATTAGATCGTATCATTTAATGCCACCATCATGGGGTGACGACATACAAAACAAGTTTCAGAAAAATATTATGAAATAAATAGGTTGTTGATGGTCGTGATGGAATATGCATTTTTCCTCGAGAAAATATGATATTGGCCTCGGACAATATCATATTTACACTCGGGCAGTCGCCCTAGGTCAATATGATATTTTCCTTGGTCAATATCATATTTTTCTTCGAAATAAAATTCATATTCCATACCTCCCATTAAATAACCTCTATATATTCAAGAACTAAATAATGAATAGTAGAATAGCATTGATACACATCAAATGTATAAAAATGAAATATAAGTCAGATCCTCAAACTTGTTAATTGCTAAAAAATATCAATGCAACATCCTCTGTTCTTTTTTATGAACTAGCGATTTGCATTTTATGAATCATCTATTTTGATCGGATATCAATTTTGATTACGATGCACAGTATAATATAGGATTTCATTAGTACTGATGCCCTTTTAAGGCCAAACGTACATCCAACATACAATTTTCAATAACAGTAAAAATAGCATTAAAGTAAGGAAATAGGATTACATTCTACAAATGACATATAAAATGTTACTTTGATATAAGAATCCTGTCTCTACCAGATAATTTATCATGTCAACAGATTCTTTTAATATGTTCCCCTCACTCGTCAATAGAGAAAGTGTCTTTTGATGGTCATTCATGTTTTTTAAATTACTAAAGTTCAAGTTTTTCAATATGAGATTTTCTGACATGCTCCAATTGTTTACATTGTCTTTACATTATATTCCTGTATAATACTTTCTGCAGAAAATGATGCTTCATGTATATTACTACCAATGGCCATGGCATATACACGCTGTGGTCATTCTGATACTCATAGGATTTTTCTATTTCACCTGAAATTAAAGCAATCATCTTTGTTATAATTTTAGACATGGAATTGTGTATTTTGGGCTTACTCCAAGACATAAAAGGTTTATCAATGTCCATTTCAACAGTAAAAGACATAGTCATTTATTGAGTATAAACTTTACACACGCACAAAATCAAAAATGTTTTCTCAGTTGCAAACTAGTTTATAAAAGACTTTATAATTGACGTCTGATATACTTTCAAATTCTTCCCGCCATTTTCTATAAATTTTCTCATTTAGAGATTAGCTTTTGAAAAGGTTGCAATAACCATAAATTGGTTGATTTGGCTGTATGTATATATCTTACTGTAGAACAGAATTGTATTTCATTATGACTCACTGTGGAACTATGTGTTATGGTTTTAAAAACTAAAATACTATACGTTGTCAGGCCCGTAGCCAGGGGTAGTTCGATGGGTTCTTTTCACCATTCTGAGCACTTTTAAGTGACTTTGGCCATTTTTGGACCAAAATTGTCAAAAGTGAACTCCCTGGAATTTTTCAAAAAGTGACCCCCCCCCTTGGCACATCCTGGCTACGGGCCTGGTTGTTTTGCGGAATTAGTAGATTAATTGAACTGTGAGTTATTCCTTACATTCAGTTCTATTCAATTTACTTTCAGTCCGTTCATTCAGAGGCAACTAAATATTGTAATAGAAGTATAAAAAATATAACTTGACACATGAAGGATCAGAATGAAATAACACGCTATATCTGTATTTGTATTGTGAACTGCTACAGGTTTTTCAACCAAATATGAAGAAAATTAGTCAATTCGTTCTTTGAGTTGAAATCATATTAGAAACTCGAATTAGAAATGTATACTAGCATTTTTTGCTATAATTTGCGTTACGAATGTTTTATACATAAAATAGCAACATGTTGCCGATGGAATACTTAACAAAAATCAAAAATATGCAAGTGATTGAGTGTATGTTTATTGCACTTGCACGTTATACAGTATACATAAAGTACTTAGGAATATGCACTATTAAGGGACCATCTCAAAATATACAAATCAAGCTTTTTGGTATTTTCTCGAAACTTGCATAACTGAAATTATCAATGAGTACAGGAGTACATGTAACACAGCATTCCTGGCTGGGCAGAGGATTGAATAATTATATTGCTATTTTAAATCTACAGTGATAAGTAATATGCAAAAAGTTTGAAATGATTCCCTTAGTTGATTAATTGACATTGGTTGTTCACTTAAGCCTCAGTCACATTTGCTCTACGGCGGGGGTACAGCGGCCATAGATTCACAAAATCGGTATAGAAAATCTACATTGAACTGCTTATCGCTAAATTTTATACTGCATATTTCTCTCAAATTTGGGAAGCTACACCGGCCATAGATCAAATGTGACTGAGGCTAAGGTAATCACCTGCTGAGGGACTGGCTGTCAATTGATTTGGTAATACTTCAGATTTAAGGTGCCTAAAAAAGAATCAAATCCCTATGTACTGTATTTGAGTGTTTGCTGAGACAAAGAGAAAGAAGACAGATATCCTTTAGATCCTAAATGCTTACTTAAAGTACAGTTTTGACAATATGGAACCATTTTTCAAAAACTGAAGGCCATTTTTCTAAATAAGGCCAATTTTCACAGAAATGAGCACTGTTTTTTTTAATTTAGGTGCAAATAAGGTCCATTGAGGCCCCATCTGAAAAGGCCCTTCTAGTCATTCCCTCACTCAGCTAGTACATGTACACAGTGATGTACATATCTATTTAAATAGAAGAGAGTAAAACAAACCTTAATGTAGTAATTGATAAAAATCTAAAACATGCCATTATACTTACTAACGTCCAACGTCCATCATATTTATTAACTCATTCGTATGTCATATTATCTGACTACATGTACATTCAGGATTTATGAAAAATCAATTGATAAAGATCGAAATTTGTGGATACTTCATCTGATGTATCTCATATTATTAAATGTTTTAAAGCAAGTAATTTAGCGTATTGACCCCAGAACAGTTGTGAATTTGTCCATATCTGTTATTTTCCCATATCTGAGTGATAAATACAAGTCACTTCCACTATCATATCGTTTAAACTTTATGAACACATCATTAGGTTTATCAGATAGATCACAAATTGGGATAATGTTAACTATGGGCATATATACATCATTGCGCCTTCCCCAAAATGTCAAATGAGATACCTTAACCATATTGTTTGTTGGATTCAAAGCCATAATGCCAATCCATTTTCTCATGTAGCCACTCATAAGATAGAGTACTAAACCAGCTAAAGATGCCAAACAAGCGCTAGCATGTGCACTTCCCACTGGTAATACATTAAGGTAAGCCAATGTGTATGCTGAAGGACAGGCCAAAAGTAAAAAGCCTGTCTGGTATAATTTCAGTCGTGAGATTGTCCGAAGTAACACAATGTGTGGAAATCTGTAGAAAACATGATAGTCTGAATCCTTTTCTTTTGGGAGTCCACCTCCATCACCAACTCTCTCTGTTATATGGAATTTATCCACTGGATGTGATGAAAAAATATTTCTCAGAGACTGTCTCAATAATTTCTTCTTTCCAAAATGAAATTGATCTTCAGCCTTCAGTACATTTCCTGATTTTCGAACAGTAAAAATGGATTTGCATGATAACTGATAAAGTGCTAATGTTCTCTTCACGCAGTTGTTTCTTGCAAGTTTGTTAAACAGATGAATGCTCATTACTGGTAGTCTGGACATCATCTGTAAATAAACCAATGCAAAGCATTAACAAGATTATATGGGGCCAAAGATACACGATTTTTTCTCATATACAGCTAGTATTTCTTTATTGTACACTATATTGTAAACAAATTCTGATATTTTCAGATGGGTTTCATGAAGAGCTAGAGTAAATTATGGCACAGAGTTTATCATTTACAAGTTGGTATTATTTTTATTTGATCAATTTTCTCATTCAGGTCTTACTACAGAAATATTATGAGTCTTTGGTGCTCAAAAACATGACCATTCTATGCAGAGGTGCCCCTAATATTAGTAGTCAAAATCACAAATTTAGTGGCAACTTTGAATCTAGAAAATAAGCAATCAATGCACATTGCAACATTTGACATGTACTGTTTGATGTCAGATTTGTCAGTTACAGAAACCTTAGATAACTACATGTAGGGCCATTCCATATCAAGACCCTATGCTAAATCAATGGGGTGTAAGAAAAAGACCAACCCCTCCGACCACCTACCTTCAATCACTGATTATGATTAAGGATTTTGAACCCAAGCATGGAGATTAACTGGTCGGTGGGGGGGGGGGGGGGTCAGCCGGTCAGTGGTAGGTCTTTTCCATACACCCTTTATTAAACAATAAAAATTGCAGTGACAGTGCACATTTGACTTTATCCAACTACCTAAAAGTCAAAAGTTCGAAACACTGTTGCAATGTGGCCCTTTGATTGCCTATTTTTTAGCTTCAATGTTTTCACAGACTAAACACTGACTTTAACTGTAAGTCACTTAAAGTCATTACATTGCATTATGATTTGTACACAGTCTAATCTTCATAAAATGAAGAAATAAAAATAAAGATGGCGAAGTGATTCTTGAAAGTATTTAGAGCAGAATAACTTTCTAAAAAAAGGTAGCTTTTTGAAGGTAATTCTCTCCAGGTTCATTTACCTCAAATGGTCAGGTGTCCATAGTCGGTCTAAAATTTTCATCCAATTTTCAAACAAGCCACAGGGTGAACAGAATCGCACCCTTGAACAGAATACACTTTTCAGGATGGAAAATTCAGAATGGCCACTTTAACATTTACCCAAACTGCCTAAAAACTAATCAGTTCTAAACTTTCCATAGAAACATCTCTAAAATTTTAGGATGAATCCATGAAACCTGTAAACAACCCTCAAGAGACACGTTTTACGGTATTACTTCACAGTGTATCAACTTTTTTTCTACAATTCAGATTTTCCTGAAAAAAATCCTGGTAAAAGATATACTGATTTATCCTACACTTAGTGTACTAAATGTATAATAACATTAAAAAATAAATTTGATATTTATCGGCAAAATGAATATCCGGAGGATATCGTCACGATATACTCCGGGCGGAGGATATCGTGACGATATACTCCGGAAAACCCAATATGCGGAGGATATTGTGACGATATACTCCGCTTGTTGATTTCCCGCAAAATTGACTCTATTTGGCATGAAATTCATTTTGCAATGATATTATACATTTAGTACACTCCTTGTAAGTGTAGGATAATAAGAACATCCTATGATTTTTTTCAGAATATCATTTTAATCTACTCGGTGATATTGATATATGCACTCGTTCGCTTCGCTCTCTCGTGCAGATATCAATATCACCTCGTAGATAAAAATGATATTCCTCAAAATCATAGGATATCCTATAAGTATTACTACGCTCACTTGTCCAGATATTGATATCAACTCGTGGATAAAAATGATATCTCTCAAAATCATGGGATATCCTATACAGATATATTTTGTCGTTACATATATTGTGAGATATGCACATCTACCTTCTGTCCCTACGGTCCCTCGGGTAGATATGCATATCTCCCTCTGGATAAACCCCATATCCAAATCCTCCCAGTACATAACTGCTTTATCCTATACCAAGTAGAGTTTTCTATTTTCTTTCAATTTCTTTCAATTATTTTTTATTTTTTCAATTTTTTCACATTTTTTCAAATTGTTTTTCTATTTTTTTCTTTCTTCTATTTTTTATTTTATTCACATTTTTTATTTTTTCAATTTTTTCTTATTTTTTCAAATTTCTTTTTCGAAGCGGGAAGATATGCCCTGGAGCGGGAGATATGGCGGGAGATATGGAGGTTCAGGATATGGAAACCTCAAAATCAGGATACGGGATATATCTTACCAACTTATCTCCCTAAAACTCTACTTGGCAAAGGATAATACAAAATATGTGAAAATTGGAAAGATTGACCGTTTAGTTATTTCTAAACAAGCCTCGACAGACAGGATTTTAGGACGGAAAATCCAAAATGGCCACCTTAAAATTTATCAGACAAGATTTTAGGACGGAAAATCCAAAATGGCCGCCTTAACATTTACCCAGAATGCCGAAAAACTAATCAGTTCTAAACTTTCATAGGTAGAAATATCCCTGAGAATTTCAAATGAATCCCTCAAACGGTTTGGCTGGAAACCTGTAGACAAGCCTTGACAGACAAGATTTTAGGACGGAAAATCCAAAATGGCCGCCTTAACATTTACCCGGAATGCCGAAAAATTAATCAGTTCTAAACTTTCATAGGTAGAAACATCCCTGAGAATTTCAAATGAATCCCTCAAACGGTTTGGCTGGAAACCTGTAAGACAAGCCTATTGACAGACAAGATTTTAGAACAGAAAATTTAAAATGGCCGCCTTAACATTTACCCAGAATGCCGAAAAACTAATCAGTTCTAAACTTTCATAGGTAGAAACATCCCTGAGAATTTCAAATGAATCCCTCAAACGGTTTGGCTGGAAACCTGTAGACAAGCCTTGGCAGACAAGATCTTAGGACAGAAAATCCATAATGGCCACCTTAAAATTTACCCAGAATGCCGAAAAACTAATCAGTTCTAAACTTTAATAGGTAGAAACATCCCTGAGAATTTCAAATGAATCCCTCAAACGGTTTGGCTGGAAACCTGTAAGACAAGCCTTGACAGACAAGATTTTAGGACGGAAAATCCAAAATGGCCGCCTTAACATTTACCCAGAATGCCGAAAAACTAATCACTTCTAAACTTTCATAGGTACAAACATCCCTGAGAATTTCAAATGAATCCCTCAAACGGTTTGGCTGGAAACCTGTAGACAAGCCTTGACAGACAAGATTTTAGGATGGAAAATCCAAAATGACTGCCTTAACATTTACCCAGAATGCCGAAAAACTAATCAGTTCTCAACTTTCATAGGTAGAAACATCCCTGAGAATTTAAAATGAATCCCTCAAATGGTTTGGCTGGAAACCTGTAGACAAGATTATTCGGGACGCCCTCCCGCCCAACGGCCCACCCACCCAGCAAACTGATTACAATATAGCACCTTAGAGTGCTATAAAAAAGGCAGAACTATATACATTATGTATTCCTACTGCCGCTGCGGACTATATTCGGTAGAACTCTCCTTACCTTTTGTACCATTGAGATGGATGTTAAATTGACAAAGTTCAAATGAGAATTTCTCAAATAGCAGCCCATCGATCTTCAAAGTATTTCAGAGAAATACAGCGAAACACCTCACCTTCAAGTCAAAAAAATGTCAACAAAAATATCCCACAAAAGTTCTCCTCTCTTACATAGGTGGAGTACCAAAATGCCATCATGTTGATGTACATTGACCAATTCAACACAACCAAGCTCATTCATCCACAGAAAGTAATCCCAAATATTTTACCGATCAATTGTTATGTTCACATGTTTCCCAGTTATTCTGGGCATATATGTCTGCAAATTAGAGTATTCTATCCACGGACGTCAAGTAAGTTTCTGGCGAAAGCTGGAGCATAGATTATTTAAGAGGACTGGAAACAAGGATGACCTACCTTTTTATTTCCTGAATCTCGCCTGAAATTAGGTCATCTTGGTGACTGTTACCTGTATATCTGTATTAATAGAGTCTCTTTGTATCGCATCTGCCTCAATTTTAAAGTTTTATTGGTATTTTTAATATGATTTCACTCTTTTTCTGGACTGGTACGATTGGGCCAAGCAAATGGCAGCTGACCTGTTCAAAGTACTTTAAGTACTAATTATCGCAAATGACAATAATTTTGGAAACAATATTATACTAAATAGATTACCATGGGCTCTACCTGATTGAGCCCATGAGATTACTAAGCATCTAAGGTAAGTAAAACTTACTCACTTCATGTTAGATTTTGAAACTTATGGCTCTCGAACGGGGAAATGGACAGCTGAATAATCGTGACCTTTGAAACACGAATTGAGTCGATCAGCGTCGATCAGCGCCTTACTTTTGTTCTCTAACTGTGTCATACATCATTATTATCCTTCCGTGCAAGTATTGGAGCGCTGAAGTACTTCCTTTTCGATCAAGACTTGTAATTGTTAGTCGAGTGAATGTATTTTTCTGACAAATTCCAATATGGCGTTTTCTGCTCGGACATTTTCGTAAATCTCCGGAGGTTACCTAACTCATTCTCAAAATTCATTTCGTTCGTTGCGTATCTCGCTCCTAGCAAACCGCCATATTGGAAATGGGTCGAAAAAACATTCACTCAACGAACGATTTACAAGTCTTGATCAAAAATGAAGTATTTCAGCGCTCCAATACTTGTACGGATTGATGATACCGATGGAAGACACAGTTAGAGACCAAAAGTAAGCCACTGATCGACTTAATTCGTGTTTCAAGGGTCACTATTATTCAGCTGCCCAAGTGCGCCGTGGGAAAGCTATTATATCAAAATCCACATAGCTTTCGCAGTAAGTAAAGTAAAACTAGATGAACAACTGAGTCAATGGTGATAAATAGGCCAACACGAGTTGGCAGATTTGAAATAGACTGCCATCTTGTTTCCAGTCCTCTTTATAATCTATGCTCCAGCTTTCGCCAGAAACTTACTTGACGTCCGTGATTCTATTCAAAAATGGTGCTGCAGTATACCATTGAAGTCCACAAACAGGTTTTTAATAGAGCTACTTTCCTCATACCACGAAATAAACAAACCGAAATAAACAAACCGAGTAAGGATGTACACTCTTCGGGAATCTGAAAAATGAAGTCACCTCAATTATCACCCACCAGCTTTTATAAATCTTTGTGCTTTCCGATTGCAAAAGGCTTCGTAGAACAAGTCTTTTACATGAGTTCAAGTAGGCAGACTGTGTTGCATTGTACCGATCGTCATTTATTTTTGCATGTATTATACTCAAACACTGTCAATATTCCCTATCTTTTTAAATATCTTTTTAAATTTTTACTTTTTAAAATTTCTTGCGGAAAGAATAAAGGCTGATGCTCGTTTGAAATATATATTACGCTAAAACAACGAACATACAAATAGTTCGTGTTGTCAAGAGACGTATTCTACTCGATATAGTAATAATTCAACCATATACATGTATATAGCGCTGCTCATAATTAAATCTAATCATGTTGTTATGTTCACTGCCAAATCTAAACTAATAAGTTACGTCTTTCTCAAAGTGCTGAAATTGCAGAAAAGGGATATAATGGTCCACCAGGGATATGGTCCGGGGATATGGTGCCTCTTAAAGCATCATAGAGTAGTAATTTGATGAGAAGTTCCCAATGAGAAGTTGTTTTTCCATTCGTTCTGCCAATATTCCTGCTTCTAATTTTGTGACACATCTTATGTGCTTCTTAGGTATCTGCATAAATTCAGTGATAAACCAAAATAGTACTTTTAAGATGCCATTATTTTTTCATTCATCGACAATACTCTAGATGTGAGTAGAAATAATCTTGATTTATTCATTGAATATTCCAAAAATTACATCCAGAAATGTGGTTTAAAAAAGTATTTATCAGTATTTTCGTTGAATGATGTGACTTCTTCTTCTAGGTCGGGGAGAGACCCCATGTTACAAAATCACAAAAAGTGAACTATCTTTTCTTGTGTTGGGCAGATGATATTTTCTTTTACAGGACATATTTTCACTTTTATAATAATCAGACACATGACAATTATATGAAAATTAATCCACTTCAACTGATAATATTCAAGTTGAAGGGATCTTTAATTTCCGATTCCTGCCACCTTAATTCACCCGAATCAGCCACCTGGTGGTGAAACTGGTAACTACCTACTCGCTACTCAGTATATGGCCATATTATGCCGCATGTACAAATACACATGAGATAGAATGAAACAAGAAAATGAACTCAGCCATTGTTGCATTATAACTTCGTATTTATTTTGGGAGTTAATTATGTTATCACATCAGTGGATTGTGTTGAGCCATGTTGTGTTGAGTCGTGGTGTGTCGAGTCGTGCAGTGTTGAGTTATGTAGTGTTGAGTCATGTTGAATAGTGTTGTGTTGAGTCGTCTTGTTGTGTTGAGCCATATTGTTTGAGCTGTGGTATGTTGAGTCGTATTGTTTCACATTGCATTGAGTCGATTTGTGTTGAGCCATGTTGTGTGAAGTCGTGTAGTGTTGAACACTGTGTTGATTTGTGTTGTGTAGTGTCGTGTTACATTATGTTATGTTGATTAGTGCTGCGTTGTGATTGATCGTCTTGTGTTGTGCTGAAGCGTGTTGTGTTGTGTTGTGTTGAGTCGTGCTGCGTCGAGGCATGTTGTAGGCTGTATATTCTTTATTTTCTTTAGCAGACTACGTTTCAAGCATAGCGGCGCACGACTGCATCAAATAACATGTTCCTATCAACACAAACACATAGCCAGTAATACTTAAATTGAATTCAGATTCATCCCTCCATTCCTCTCGGATCTCTTCACTTAGGATCTGTCTTATAACTTTATGAGATTTCAAGAAAGCTAGATTCGTTAATTCATCGTCGTTATCTTTATGATCGTAAAGCTCTGCTCCCACGACATTATTCCATTCAATCGCACCTGAGTATTCATTGTATTGAAGCCATTCTGTGTATCGATAAGCTAAAGTCCGGATGCTGTAACCAACGATGCGGACAACTGATCCGTGGAAGTGCGTTCCACTGATATTTGGATTTGTTGGTATGGTGATTGGAGAACGCTGTATAACTTGAGAAAAGCTCCCGTCTTTGACCGTTTGTTGAGCATCGTTGAGCAAAATTAGTAGATTGGTTCCTGGGATATAAAAATTGTTGACATTAACGTAACACTATTTAAATAAAAAACATTCAAGTCAAGAAACAATATTTTCAAATCCAAGTCCATTTAATTTGAAAATATTACCTAAACTTATTTTTAGATATGATCCCAATTTAATTCCGAATACTAATATAGGATCAACCTCAACTCAATTATAAATACTCAAATTGATCCGAATAATTTCCTGTGTATGGTTTTTATCTGATTCCATCTTAAATGGTTTCAAGTCAATCTAATCATATAATCAAATTGCCTACTGTACCTTCATGACAAAACTTTTTTAATGACTCTGTTGTGATGCATGATGGGACAGAAGCACCTAATTTTACTGAATGTACTAGTGTTGGGAACACATCAATCAGCTCTACCAAAGCACGAATAGATTTTCCGGCATCCGTCTGTCGCGGTATATGAAGTATCATTGGTACATGTAGGGCAACGTCGAAGTTTGTATCACCTCCCCAAGCTCCATGTTCTCCTGAAAGTAAACGACCGTTATACGTCATGGTAGCCTTCGGGCGTAACCTCTCATCAAGTCTTTAACTCGACCGCCACGAACACATGAAGCCCGGACATGAAGGCACAACGCTCAAAGTATGAGAGACACGCTGTAAACGTAGAACGCTGGAAAGCGCAACCAATGCGAAGGAAAAAATAAAAACCCAACCAATAATCAAACGCACATGGCGATCGCGAGATGACCCCCTTATTCGCCATAACATACATTTAACATACATAAAAATGGAAGACCTGGAACTCGATGACTAAACGTCTTCAAACATATTGTTTGTTACGTGTGAAAATCAACAAGGGCCTAATGCAAAGTCCAAATAAATCAAACTTATACATAAACAGCCTCTTTTTGTTATCAACAAAATTGATCTGAGAGATGTATGCATTTACAATTAAGTATTAATATAGATGTCTAACCTGAAACTTGACATGAAAATTGCTGACATCTATTATGGAAGGGCTATAACAGTCTTAACAATATCAAAAATGTCTGAAATGCCGCCAGGTTAGCGGGCAGGTTAGACGTCGTGGGGATTTTGATGATAAGAACAATAGCATTAACACAGATTAGTTTTAATGATCACGAACAAAATACAGAATAGTACGTGGGTGGTGGGTGCATGCATACCGATAGACTACGAGTTATACACTGATATCCCTACCAAAACGTTAAGTTCTCAGCACAGTGTTCCCAGCTGACCATTTATCGAAGATATCGTTGTTCAGGAACTTACCAAGGTGAATTCCTCTAGTACCAACCAGAGCAATGATAGTGTCATCAATAAGTCCACTGCTCTCCAGTCGCTTGAGAATTCGTCCAACCATGGCATCCACGTAACTCACACATGCATAGTACGCCCTCTTTAGATTAGTAGCCACATCAATTGGAAGCACCAAGGTACCATTCCTGACGCTTACTGCGCTATTCAATCGAATGTCGTCGTATTGGAGGATACCAGGCATATTACCATGGTCAATGTTGTACCTCGGAATAGCGTCGTTTTTAAGCGACTCGTCGGGACCATCTCTTGAGTTTGTTGAGTGAATGGAACTGTTTGAGTATAAATTGAAAAAATCTTTAGGGCATTTGTATGGTAATCCTGGTTTCTCAAATACAACCGAAAGAAAGAAGTTCTCCTTTTGCTTTTGATAATCAATATAGTGTAATGTTTTATTGATGGTTACATCATCTGGTAAATTGATTTTCGAATCTACTTCTAGCCAACTGGCTGACAGAGTGTCACCAGGACTCGTATTATTTGTATCAGTGTTATGCTCGTTATTGTCATTCATGTCATATTCGCTCAAGTTCGTATCAAAGTTACCAATAGTCCTCACACTGTATCCATTATCTTTAAAAAACTTAGGTAATGTTACAATTGTTGAGTCAGGAAGTTTTGTTTGATGATTGTGTATGGTATCATGATATGCTCTGTCTTGCTTATCATTTGACTTTTGTTGTTTATTTTCCGATCCCTTGTCGTTTCGGAGAGTTGGTATGCCAAATGTTTGAGGGCGTCTCCCAGTGAGTATTGATGAAATACTGACATCGCTGGAAGATTGCTGTGCGAAGGCATTTCTAAACACAAGGCTCTTGCTGGCGAGTCGATCTATATGTGGCGTGTGAATTTTCGGATAGCCGCCAATTTCTTTAAAAACAGCATCTGCTCTCAGATCTTTTATGATTATCAAAATGACGTTCTTATTCCCATGGGTAAGGCCTATGAGCATCATACACGTGGTGATAGCTAAGGCCAGATCGGTGTCCGCGTTCATACCTGCGACGAGTTCTGTGTTCTGATAACGGCACTATAATTATTTAGAATCTCGGTACATAAATGTGCTTAGTAACGTATACATCACGTTCGATCTGTCCCTGCAAACATAACAATATAATAATTTCTTGATATCATTTACAACAAATACAACGTCTATTGATTAAATTTTCCATGATTAAGGTTTTTATATAATCCTGACTTTATTTTTAGATATGACATTCAGGAGTAACGATATTTCAATAGACATAAAGTCTTTAATCAAATGCAAGATTTATCTGTATTATCAGAGATGGGTTGTGTCCAAATACTAATTAATAACTACATGAGCACCATATAGAATGATCATATGAAGTAAGTTGAACTTGTTTTACACTACGCTCCAAAAGTTTGGGAAATCGAAAACGCTATCGTGTCACTTGTCATAGCCTATATACGTTTGGCTACTTGTATTTTCACAAATCTATATTGCTATTGTATTTTGCTATTTCCAATGTATTGCATTGGGAACAAAATACATGGATTCCAACAAAAACAGAGCTAATTCATGATAGGGATGTCCGCTTGTCAAATTCATGGTGCATGAGTGTACATCCTCCGATCAAAGAGCTCTAAGATCCAGATATAGGAGGTAGAGATTCTGGGCACCTGCTTATTGAGGATGATGAATGTATGTATGGTCCATGGTGTATGGCTGCTATGGCACCCAATGATGTGATGGCTCAATAAAGGCACAGTATTTCAAATTAAGGTCAATTCATTTAGAAGGACATTGTTCTATTGTTCAAGTTATAATATTGACCCTCTGCAAGATCTAGACAGACCTACCTTTGGCTGTAGTTGCCCTAAATCCTGGCCGGCATTTTCCGCTTCATTCCTGGTTTAGTAGATGCATTCCTATACTATTGAAAAACAAAATATTGTGATTTTCCTATATCTCTATGAGCTATATGGTGTGTGAAACGCCAATAAGGAAAGGACTGGTGGAATTGATTTCCCCGTTCTATATTCTACTTCTATATTGGAAAGTCTCTCTATATTGTGTACAATATTAAACAATGTGGAATAGACTTTATCTGATATTAACTACAGCATGCAGTATGTTGTAGCCTGGGATTTGGAAATGGCTTTTTAGAATTAATTATGGTTTTCATCCCAACCAATGCAATGGGGAATAGCCTACACGTCCTCTCGGAAATCAGGTATTGTTGTCTGTCTCTCAGTCCATCTGTTGAAACGCCATTAAATGCTAATATGTCAAGAAACTCCTGACCTTGTACTTTTATTTCTTAGAAATGATGAAATTCCAAAGGTTCGATCTCATAAGCATCTTGGTGTCATTTTTGACCACAAATTAATATTAATGACATGCTAGGAATGTGTCAAACACGTATTAAAATATGGCAAATGACTTTAAAGGCGATTGCTTACAAAGTGACCTCATGACATCTTGAAAAAAATTGCAATGAACCAAAGTTCAATTTTTGATGTTGGGGGTTATTTATGTGCGCGCTATATTTTAAAATGATGTGGAATCCTGATTTTTAGACTATGACGATTTATTTTATGCCTCAGCATCAAAATTTGAGCTGGCCAAATTAAAAAGCATTCACTCTAGCTGGTTGTATTATACGTGGAGTTATCCATGGATCAAGCAAAATCAAGAACTGGAAAACCCTTGAATCTAGAAGAAATGATCACAAACTTTTGTATTTGTTTAAAGTCTTTAATTAGATGAAACCCCCATAGTCTCATGTATTTAATACCAATATAACTGATGGTAACCGGACAACTCATCCCCTAGCCAATTCATCCCCTGGACAACTCATGCCCTAGACAACTCATCCCCTGGACAACTCATGCCCTAGACAATTCATCCCCTGGACAACTCATCCCCTGGGCAACTTATCCTTTGACATGTTACTGTAATTTAATGTCACATTATCAATGTAACATTTAGCTTCATGTGATAAGGGATGAGTTGTCAAGGGGGATGAATTGCCTAGGGGATGAGTTGTCCGTAAGCTGATCATAACTGTAACGCGGTAAACACGATACAAATATATGTCATATTCCGCGACGAATATGGCATATTCACTTGCGGTGTATGACAGATTCACCTGCGATGCTATACTCAGTGCTCACTGACCAATGAGAACGCTATAAGGAAGTATGCAATTTTCAATTATATCGATTGAACGAACGGGCAAAGTTTATAGATTATCATTCTGATTACTGAATCAACAGGCCAGTGCATTGCATATATCAACTAATAACATACACCAGTGGTACCAGTATTGTTTGATGTTATTTTATCACGGTGCCCATGTCAAGCTGCGCGCCTACTTAGGCGCGCAGTTTGTTTCGATCACAAACTGCGTGCCTAACAACATTGCATCATTTAAGTTGAAGTCTGTATTTTGAAACGTAATTTAAAGACATTTATCCTGCATTGTTTTCTTGTTCAATGCGTTCATTCTGTGGCGATTGTACGAATCTTGCAAATACTAGCAAAAACTATGTGCAAGTGAATCTAAGTATTAAAACATAAGCAGATTAATGGCATTTTCGTCACTGATTTAACGGGAATTTATACGTAAATCGATCTAGCACTTTAAACATAAATGACAAATACTTTAGACTCGTTTTATATTTAATTCCTTACGCATTTATCATGTATAATTCAAAATATTTCGAGATAAAACAGATAATCAGGAGATTGAAAAGAAATAAACCACAAACTGTGCGCCTATTTTAGCCAGAAATTACAAACTGTGCGCATACACTATTAAATTCTACAGAGGCACGTGTAGGTGTTTTTCATATAGCTTTGGAAATTTTGTTTTATCGTCAGATTTTATGAGATTTTCATATTGAAAGTCAAAGATGTATAATAGAAGTGACAATTAACGAAAGAATCTTTTATTTTCAGATCACCATCTTGGTGGATGGACTGTCATAGTGTTTCAATTATGGGGTTCTACTATTAGACACATATGTGCCTTACATATGGTGCTTACGTTTTCTAATAATACAAAACAAGCTTAGATAGGCAAGTTTGGAAATATTAGGCACGCAGTTTGGGAAATACATGTGAATATAGGCGCGCAGTTTGACAAGAAAAATGTTTAAATCACGTTTATGGCGTATTATCGTTTTGAACACAAACTATGCTGCTTTAATCAGATGGAGTGATCCTATATATTCTAGCATACACAGACACAATGGCTGAATAAACGGCAAATGACGATAAAAAGACATAGATATAACTTTACACTGTACATTTTGAACACAGAAGTTACTTAAGACCCTTATATTGAGATAACTAGGTTTACATAGGGAAAACAATTGAGTACTATGAGTAAATTAAGTTCATCTTCACAGAATGGCACTATCTTTAGAACGAGACTAACCTTGTATTTTTCGTATTTTGGCTCTTTTTGGGAGTCGTGTCCTCCCTGTCTTCCATTTTGAAATATGCGCGCAGTTTGTCAGAGTTTCAAACTGCGTGCCTAGTAGGCACGCTGCTTGACATGGGCATCGTGTTTATGTATGTGTTGCATGCGAATGCACACTTCAAGGGAAACGCGTAAATAAACTAACCTACATGTACGTTCGTGAAGCTTATGAGTGACTTTTATAACCAAATCAACAGTTGACAAAGTCCAAATAAAAACCTAAAAAATAACGAGCATTTATGTATTGTTGTATTGGCAATCACGATTTACACAATTCTGATACTTTCAGAAGTATCATTCAACAAAAACAAGTAGTGAACGTACTCAATCAATCCACGATTCATGTATTAGAACTCGAAGCGCTAACAATATTGTTAATCCAGCGTAGTTAAATACATCTAGAATACATTCTTTTGACCAATCAAATCGAGCCATTCTGTATCGCTTTTTCACCTGCGGTACATGGCATATTCCGCTGTTGAGTATGTCGTTTTCAGTGGGAGAGTAGGACATAATATTCCGCACTGAGTATCGGGTATTCATTGAAATCAATGTATTGATGTATTGCATATTCAATACGGAATATGCCATATTCACCTGCGGAATACATGGAATATGACATATACCGCAGGTGAGTACGGCATATTCGCCCGTATCGCAAATACCGCACAACCATGAATGTATGTATTATAAGGTACCTGAAAATATATTAGCAGGTTATCTAAATCATCACCATTGCAGCTTATGAGTTCTTTGAATAACCAATATCTCTCCTAAGTAAAGGAATTCTTGCATTTAAATTACCGTCTAAAGAATTCCATTCAAGATGAAAATAAATTGTTATGCACCATTCCAACTACTAAAATGTTTATCACAAGAAAGAAAAAGAAAAAGGCCTTATAAAACAGAATCAGGGCTGATCTATTCCTAAATGATCACTTCTTTGCTCACAATTTCAATTCCGTCGTATCCCCAGCTTCTTCATGTGGAAATAAAATGAAAACTATTTTTGTAAAACATCTTTCTCACTTCCTACCGTCACATTCAAGTCGTCATCATCATCATTTCATCCTTCATATTCATTAACTCCTCTTATCACGTTTATCAATTTCTCTCTTACACCTATTTTCCAAACAAGTTTCTGCCTTATATGTATTTTCTTTATTGGTGAATATGTCTGTCGTGCCTTGGGGCGATTGACATTATTACATTTTTGTTAATTGTGATTTATTAATTTATACAACAAATATTGGAAAAATACTAATATAATATGCATGTCTTGACATGGGGGTTAATATTGGAATATAAGGGAAATTAATGCCTATACAGGTCCATCCTAAGGGGAGGGCGTACCACACCGGTGACGCTTTGCATGAGCACGGTGTGTCGGGGGCACAGTCCATCCGTATGCAAAAGTCGCCCCCATCCCCGGGAAATCCTTCGGACGGCCCTGCTATAACAGGAACCAAAAGAAGCCAAAAGGATTATTTTAGATTATAGTGTCATGAGTTAAAATACAATTACATATATAAAACATTTTTGCACAAATAAAATCACCCAGGCCCCCTATATAACAGAGTCATTTATGATATATGTACATCTTGCATTTTCTACGTACATTTTATTTACAGCAGTAGTACAAGCTCGAGGTAATGCCATTTGTTATGAAGCGATGTTTTCTCGTCTCATCTGGTTTGACAGTGTGAGATACCACGTGGCGCTAGTCAGTGTAAAGCGAAAACCACGAGGTTAGTTTAGATTCAAATTCAACATAGACGACCATGGAACAAAATTTGAAGGAAATAAATGATTCAAGCATTCGACTCAAAATTACTGTTTGTCAATAGAATGAAACAATAAAATACATAGAATATCAGATGGTGGAACAGCCGGGTAATTGGTCAACCCGACCTTGACGCCATATCTGGGAAGCTCGTGAGCATTTGCAGCGCAAATGATCGTGTCTTCCAGAATTCTGGCATACGCTAATTCGTCCTGGTATATGATATCCTAATTAGTGAATCGCACAATCATACGATACTTTGGGATGTTGTATTTATTATTGTCCTGAACTGTCACGTCCTTACGGGTATAATCGGTGCGTCCTTCACGCCTCGAATACAAAAGAAGACCTAGTAAACCGACGCCCGACGGTCAGGTTTAGGTAGGCCCAAACATAATTTGAAACTGTTTTGCGTAGACGTGCGTTTTGCATAATAACTCTTGCCACCTTAACAAAGAGGATTGGCTCCCAGTATGGCAACTCGATATTTTCCAACAATGAGAACGTCAAAATGCTTTTATCTTTTGAAATTGTAACCGACTATAAGTTCAAAATAAACAGTCAAAAAGATTCAAACCAATATCTCAATCATTTCTTATGAATTTTGTAATTTTTCGCCTAGAAACTAGACCGAAATTCACGATTCAAATGTTGAAGTGAACAAAATGGCTGCTGTTTGAATTCGAACTTTGTAATCACGATATGCCCATATTTGGTAAAAATATCGATGTTGCACTCTGGGAGCCAATCCTCCTTGCACCTTAATACATCATTAAACAACACGATTCTAGTATATCATATGGTCACTTGTACTTCCTCCAAATAACTGAGCGTTCCATTGAGGCAGCTGAGACAAAAGTTTGTCTAATCCACTCTCCCAACTATCGGCTTGTCTAAAGTCTGATGTTTCAAAAACAATGTTCTTCGTATTTGTATGTATCACAAGACATTTCTTCCCTGAAATGAATACAACGATTTAAGGTAGGTTTAATAGAAGATGTGGCTAATTTATATTCCATATTATGAAGAAATTATACTGGAACGTTTTACATACAGTGTGTTAAAAACGACGGCTTCTTCACCTACAGCTATAACGTATAAAGTAGCGTTTCATATGTTATCTTAAACCTGCACATCGCTCCAAAACGCAATATGTTGACATATATTGTTTTTACATTTTCAAGCTCTAATATAAAGTTTATGTAAATAAAAATTGTTTTTTTCTGCGTAATATCAAAGAACAATCATTTAGTTAAAAAATTAAAAGGGCGAATGTGGGATTCGAACCCGGGCCTACCGCGTGCTAAGCGAGGATTCTACCGCTACACCACCGTGTTTTTATGAATAGTGGAAGTAATTAAACGCTACTTATTTGATTGCTATGATTCGGAAGTGACGTCACGTTCTTCATTTAGAAACCTTTCCAAAATCATATCGCCGGCTCCGATCGAAACAAATTCAATGAAAAATCTTTGAAATGACACACTTATCGTTAGTATTTCTACACAAGATTTTCCCCATTTGTTCATCATTCTATAATCTTTCATTAAGCTCAAAATGATAAAGTTCACCCCCAAAACAACCCAAGATTGCGTTTCGGAGCGAAGTCCAGCTTTAAGAGAATTTTATTCTGGAAAATGTCGCAATGCTGTCGAGAATATTCCATTTTCCAACTTTCAACTGGATTTTCTCTCCCATGAATTAATATTAATCGAAAAAAGTACATGTCCCATTTCAAATCATCTTTGACATGATCAAACTAACCTGGTTTTTCCCACAGCGACTCTACTGATTTAATGTCCTTAAACATAACGTGCTTGGTTTTCTTCTGACTTGGTTTCCCTGGTTCTTCAACTACTAACACTAAATTGTGGGTGTCTGATTTGTCGCCTAAGACCCACTCGACCCTCAGATGTCGCTTATGCCTGAATCCACTCTGCCCAACTTTGTAGAACACACCACCTTTGAGAAAGAAAAACGTAGGTATAGCTGTATGTTGCAACTATTAAAACAAGGCATAAGATGCAAAATGCCCCCATATAACATTTTTTACAGACGCAGGTACAACAAAACAACGAGCAATGCCTGTATGATACGTTGAGAAGTGTCATTATGGCAGTCTCTTGTTCCTCTCTTTTTCCTCTCTATTACGTGTGGTAGATAAGGGGGTGTCAGCATTCTGATCTATCAGAGCCACTCTTTATCTAATGTTTGCATTCTCAGGGATGGTATAGGCTGTGGATCCCACAATTGGGTATCAGAGTTATTTCATTTGGTGGCAAAAACTATAGATAATGCGTTTTGCCCAAACGATAAGTTAAATTATGAGTAGCAGATAGCCCTTCACAGTGCTCCGTTGCTGAATTGCAATAATCAAAAAATAAAATTAATTCCTTGCCAGTGCATTTTTGGCTCAACATAATATTTTTACTGTTGTAAATGTTATATTGGACAAATGAATACGAAATAAGATAAATGAATGGCCTTAAGGTGAATTGAATTTTGTTGCAGATTTGTAGAGTGGGCAATTATATTTTGACCTTTGACTGTCCAGCTGGCCTTGACCTATAATGAAGAAAATACCCGGATCCAATACCGTTCAAACGGGGAGGGGAAGAAAATAAAAATTAATTGACAAATTCAATATCCTAAAATGAACATTTTTGGTCTTGGTCCTAGAAAATGGGACCCAAATTTTTAACCAATTGTGACCAAAATCTTTAAACCAAGGCCAACATCTTCACACGATTATTTTTACACAATCGTGGGAAGGGATATCCCAAGGATAAGAATGAAACGAAAGCTTCACAAAAAGCTTGTAGCCCTGGGATCGTTCTTGTTTGGAACGGAGAAACGTTGCAATTTATTTTTTCAGTAGTATCACACTGCGATCAACAGGCCAGCTTCCTAGCTTTAGTTTAAAATAACAACATCCTAAAACTATTGCGTGACATGATAGAAGGTGGAATAAAAATAAAACCATATGAAATATCAATTACGTGATGATTTCGAAAACCAATTATTACTTATATATGTTAATAATTTCCCGATACCCACTGGGAGATGGGGTGCTTTGCCCGAACAAACCAGCTGTGTGTGAAATTAAACATTTTCAAAATTGGGTTCTATTTTGAATATATAGCCTATATCTTTAGTTTCATTCAATTTGCTATTATACCAAAACTAATATTTTCATTACTTTGACAGTGTGCTGTTTTCTATTTCATTTTTTTTTACTTTGAGACATTTGAATATTGTTGAATATAATAGTAAGTGTAAATTGTTTTTGCTGATACGGTTTATTAGCCGGCCCTTGAGATCAATTTACAATATTAATTAAATATTCACGTTACAGTCAAGTGCGCAGCCACAGGAAAGCATTATCTAATTTTGTATCTCTTGTGTTGTATTTTTGTACATGTACGTTGCTATTAATTATACACTCCAATACAGCCCATGATAATATATTCCATCAACATAATAGTTATTTGTGATAAGTTGTGGAAGATCAAATCTTGGGAGGGGAGGGGGGTGTGTAAATAATGATTAAGTCAGTGAATAGTGTTTTTTAAATATTGAAGTGAAAAACCATTCTACTTTTGCGATTTCTTTACATGGAGGAAGGGTCAGGGTGGGGGAGGGCAACTTCGTTTTTCCACAACTTTTGATAATTAGACCTTTGCATTATTATAGCTCTCGAGTGAGAGAACACGGAATTGAAAAAACAGAATTAAATAGAAATAGAGTCAATACCTTGTAGTGTGTTCCATATGGGTTGTTGTACCTCATCGCAATGACACTCGATATTTCCCCCGATGTCACTCGAGTTTTCACTGGAACTCGCATTTTCACTATCACTCGAGATACTACTTCTGAACGAGTCACTACTATCAATGCTGTTTTTCTTGTATATTCCTTCCATCTTTCAATGATGATATTTCACTTTTTCACTCACTAAAATAATAAAAATTGATACATCAATTCATCATTCAAGAAAGAAACACTTCGGTCGACTGTCTTTGTCAGTGTGTAAGGATCTCGAGTGGGCCAGCCTTTAACTCGGTGTTTGGCCTTCACCTCGCCAGTTTACTATGCTGTAATTTACACAAGAAATCAATTCCCAATCAATAAAGCGCATTTCCTTTTTTAGTATTTCAAGTGTTTTTATTGAAAATTTATATTCGTTTGAGCGAAGCGAATTAAGAATATAAATACTTTCTATATGTGCAGTGAAGTGAAGAAAAGGCATGAATCATGATTTGGTAATGTAGCATATGCTGTTCGAGTTGAGCAAAGATTTTTGTGTGTTAGGCCTTGTTTAGTGAGTGAGTTTTATGAATAGAGAAGTCATTCTGGGCTTGGTCGCCGAACAGTCAACTCCAAAAAATGTTAAGCAACATTTTTTAAAAAGCTATTTCTGCATTCAAACAGAGTTTATCTATGATTGGGTCTGATGGGTTGAGAGGTGGGGTTATACCTTTCCAGAGGGCATCGACTTCAGTCGAATAGCATCTTTGGTTTTAATGGTGATCAACCACCTTGATATCAATCAGGCAACAATTAAACGTTGCATACAACCTGTTTTACTAATTGTACAATATACCCGGCACAGTTTCTGCCATATGTACACGTATACTAGGATTTACAATGAGCAGGCCATGCAAACAGTCTTACAAAACGATATCTATTAAAAGTATTGTAAAGATCTTGTCACATGTACACATATATACTAGTATTTACAAATAAAGGGTAGCGACCACAAGCCAAAGCTAGATCTAAATTAAAGCTGTGTTGTGTTGTGTGACATGCCGTGTACGTAACGTAACGTACAGAATAGAATGAGGAGTTCTTATTAGCTTTCTTTTTAATGGTTGGCTAAAGAGGGCCATTAAATCGGAATGGCGACTTTTTTACATTCAAATAGTAGCCAATGTGTTGTAGCATTGGTCCTTTCAGGTCTATTGTGAAATGTATACTTAAACTTGACACAATAATCTTGAATAATGGCAGAAAATGAATAAGTTCAATTATGAAATTGAATGCTGGCATCATATTTTAGGTGGACTTTCTTTTTATTAAAATGAAATCAGAATTTGCTTACGTTTATAAGAAAACGAACGGACACACCTGGATGTGATTTGTTAAAGTAATTAACTGATAATTCGGTGACTAATCCAAATGTTGTAAATGCAGAGATCTTGGACTCCTAGTATAAATCATTAAACTATTTCAAAATTGAAATTGTGAATGGTGAAATAGAAACAATCTTCAAGATCACATTTGTCATAAGTAAAAATACTTAAAAGTAGTAGTATTCAAGAAGATGTTATCAGCAACTTATTGTCTTTTGTTTATTGTCTATTGTCTTTTGTTTGGAATGTTTTTTTCTCCTTTTTAAGCGGTTCTGGATCATGTGTGGTCCATGAATGTTTAGAAAATAACTTACCTGTTTAGTAACATTTTGAAAGACATGACATATTTTTTATGGTTTTGATCTATTGATCATATTTATAATGGAATACAATTGGCATTGAAAATGGCATGCAACATTGTTTGATTGAAGTGGGGCTAATACAATGCAAATTTGATCACTGCCAGTACCTACCTCCCCTGATCTTTTTAACGTTTTGCGATTTATATGTTTATTGACAAAGAGGATTCGATAATAACCAGGACAAGTTCATGTTTATGTTTCTATATATAGGACTAAGGACCTTTCATTGATCATATATATACTTATTTTTTAATTATAAACATTAGAGTATGAAATTACATTTATAATATTGTACATGTATATAACACAGTGTGTGGTGGCGAGGTGTCAGCTCCATATCCTGCCGTGTCATAAAGCATGGGGGTCCGTTCTTAAAGGCTCGTTTGCAGCTACGCCTTTTTGGCATACACCTCTGATAGAATATCAAAATTAACAAATCTAAATACCATGTGTGTTCAGTATGGCACATATGACCGGGCAAATATCTTCAATAGGAGTAGGACAACAAAAAAGTCTAACAAATCAGTTCCTGGTTGACTAATGATGAGTACAACCTTTAAGAGTTACTTTTGTTTTATTCCTTTTTAAATCACTTTTAAAATAAGTGACGACAACAAGTGGTCGAAAACTGTTAATTTGGCATTACTGAGAGTCTACAAAGCACTTTATATGAAGGGCCCTCGTGGTCCCTCTTGGAAATATGAGAAACCCATATACAATTTGAGTTGCTTTCAACGATTTCAATGAGTCAATGTTATTTAATTTGATTTAATCCGTATTTATTGTTCACAAGTCGAATTCTATTTTTCAAAATTGGAGTGAAGTACATATTTAGAGGTTGTTATGTCTTTCTATGAAAAACACATTATTTATGCGGTTTTGCAAAATATCCATTGATTCTGTGATGACATCTCCAAGTACATGGTGTACATAGTTTGTGCAAATAAAAGCATGTCACACCTGGTCACGTATTACTCACTAAGTTATAATTAATTCTTATTAAGTTACTTACAAAGGACCATCAAATAAAATTATATTCAAAATCCTACCTTTATTTTCCCAACATGAAACATTCCAACATTTCTTGCAAGCGCGTTACAATCCGACGTAGAGCCTCCTATCTTCTGAATGTATATATGCTAATGATGGTCCTGTATTTTAGTCGTTTATCTGAACTCGCACATTCACATAAATGATATGAGGATATACCTTGGTGACTGACTGCCACTGAGTCCTTCAGGCATTCATCTAGGCATTACTATCAATACCGCGAGAATTCAGGATTTTAATACTTATAAGAACATATTTGTTTAAATGCAACAAATGGTTTGATGATAACAAATTTAAATGCCTTAAAATGCCAACTGTAATATGTGTAATAACGTAATTGTTGAACAGCTTAGTGGCCGTTTATTTTGATTTTCTATTTCCTTTTGTGGAGATTAGGATTATACTATTTATGCTTATTAGGTGAGCCCTTCTTGTGGATTATTGGTTTATTTTGGTTTTAAAACAAATCCCTTTAATAAATGTTGGCTTCTGTACTTAAATGCATCAGTTTATATTTATGTTAATCACAGTTTTGCCTTTGTGACTAATTAACCAGCATCATAAGAGAAAGTCAAGACAAGTCAAGTGCAAGTAATTCACTTAGTTTTGAATCTGGGCTTTTTGATTCCGGGGCGATTTAATGGGTGATTAACATTATGATTTGTTTATACTGTATTTTCATTTCGTAAATGGCTAGGTGAATATCTTTTTATGTACGTGTTATTAGACGATGCGCAAAACTGAGCAGTAAGCAGTCCAGCAAACAAAAATAATGGTTTATGATTGCTTCAGAGATTGAAACGCCAGAACCGAAACGATCAGGATAGGGTGACCTGGAGTGGCAATATTGACAATTCAGATCATGGTCGACTTGTATATAAATTCAACACAAATGTATTAAAATGAGTATGAAAAAACGCACAGTTGGTCAGGTTACCAGTGAACTTATCTATTTTAAAGAACTTTCAGGACATGCTTTCAACAATTTTGTATAGGCCTACAAATATTATTTTGCAAAATCTATTTCATTTTCTTCAGTGTATGCTATGATTTATTGTTGTATTGACCGGGTCGTAGGATGAATGCATTTATAGCAAAGGGTTTCAATTATTTTTGTATATGGGGATGTTTTTTGTAACACATAAGCTGAATAAAGAGTTTGAAAATTATTAAATGAATAAATGTTGACGACATCGGTGAAAAAATTCCCAAGGACCAAACGCGTTCTGTTTGCCTCTAGGCTACAACAATACAGAAAAGGATACCCCAGAGAGAACAAATGTTTGTTGTGAAAAGACCACGTGCAGTATGGCAAGTGATTTTAGACGGTCATATCTTTCACCATGAGTACTTTCTGGGCATAAATACAGTGGTTTTTATTAAAACAATATGTTTTCTTTCAAGTGAAGTACCCATGATGATAAAAATATCAATCGAACAAATCGAAAAATCATGAATAGGGACCCCGATGTCAACATTTTTTTCAAAATATTGAACCTATTTACTCAAAAGAGGATCTCTTTTCTGATTTTTATTGCATGAAAAGATTATTTAACAAGGGATCTAAAACATCTTCAAAAATATAATTGTATTGAAAGTCTAGTTTTGAAGATATCAATTTTCGATGACCAAAATGATGCTGAAAACAATGGATAGCACGAGTTTTCCCTATTATTATATTATTATTATTATTTTCTCTATTATTATTATGGGAAAATAACATGGGATATGTGGTTTTTAACTTTAACGCATTTCAATACGCATCCCATTTTCAGAAATTATTCAGAAAGAAAGAAACTTTTGATATGTTTAAATTGAGAAAAGCAAGATCCTCTTTTTAGAAAATAAGCCTAACATTTTTAAAAAAGTGCCAGGGTGGGGCCCTAACCCATAATTTTTCAGAGAGTTGGATTGATTTTTTATCATCTTGGGTACTTCATTTGAAAGAAAACATATTATTTTAATAAAAACCACTGTATTTATGCCAAGAAAGTACACATGGTGAAAGATATGACCGTCTAAAATCACTTGCCATACTGCACGTGGTCTTTTGAGTCTGTTTTGGTCAATATTTATATTTGAAATTAGAATTGATGCCGGGAAATTGACTTAACTTTTAGGAAGTACATGTAGAACCAGAGTGTGCAATGTTGGGGAAAACTTTTCGCAAAAACGTATTATTTTTTAAAAAAGAGTAAAATTTGTATACGTTACGATATAGGGGATATTTTGGGGTTTTAGCTGAGATTTTATGTTAGTCTCAGGTTTTAGGCCCTATGCCTGGCTATGCCCATGGCATTGTTTCCCAATCAGGCAAATCAATAAAACTATTGCAAATGCGATAATTAAAGTTTTAAACACAGTCAGGACGCAGTTTGCCTATGATTTGGGGCAAGCCCATATCATGATGATCTTTAACTTTTTTCTCTCGGAGAGATCATGATTTAGGCAATACCCCAAATAGTCATAACTGCTGTAGCGACCCTTGATACTACGGCCCACCTGTAGTGGCTTAAGCCTTTCTATCTCAGTCGGTAGAGCATCAGACTTTGGATCCAAGGGTCCTAGGTTCGATTCCTACACGGGCATTTAATTTAGCACACTTTCTTTCAATATTCCGAATATGGCATTAATGGTTGAGAACTAGGGATCGAAACCAGCCATAGTTTTCTCCTGATGACCATTGTGAATTATTGTGTTTTATGGATTATGGCGACGGCTTTTGTGAATGGATGTTGAACATTTGAAACGCTTATGGACTTGGATTTTATCTATCCCACATCATTTGAGACTGAATGCTCCATCTTGTATGAGTACTTGTATCTATAACTATTTTTAAGGTTATGAGTATTGGCTATCAATTTCTAATTTTTTCTTCAACATGTATTCATTGTAATGTAATGACTTCAGTATGAATGAAATGACAATAATTTTAAAATTACCTCCTGTTCAAGTTGCAATCATTTTTATATATTATATTGATAGATTTAATATCATTGAATATGGTATTGCTTGTTGAGAACCACACAACATTACCATTTATCATTTATTTGAGATTTAAGCAGGGGTCCATTTTTTAAAGAAATAATCATTTTAAAAGATTTCTTGTGAATAGATAATAAATAAGTGCAAAAAGTATGAATTATTATATATCAAGAGCATAATGTAAAATTTCAACTGAAAAGTTAGATCAAAATGGAATCCAAATTCACAGTAGGGGGTATAACTCATCAAACACTGTATAATTTTTTAAAACTTATTGTTACAGCCTTATGTTTTTAATTTGCTTTTGATAGTTAGGATTATATCATTGACCATTCATGAATTTTTGTGCACCATACAAGGTTACAGAACTTCATTTATGAACGATTTCAGCAGGGGTCTATTTTACGAAAATTACTTAGATGGAAAGCTAGTACATTGTTACGATTAAATTACATCATTAAGGTGTATAAATCATAAAAACAGGTTTCATCCTGATGTCTACAACCTAATTCGTATAAGGCCATGTCAAATGGGGGGGGGGGGGGCATTGACCTCCATTTGGGGATCTTTATTACTTATATGATTTCAATATTACAATAATGTCGGTATCATTATAAACAGGCACTAAATAAGTGTAGAGTATTATAAAAACGTTGACAGCAAGAAGATTTATAAAATTGAAACTGTAAAACGAGATAACATTTGGGCTCTAAAATCACAATGATTGGTATAACTAATCAAATGTTTACTTTTTAAGGTTATTATCATATCCTAGCAATTTAAATTGTTTTAAATAGTTATAATTGAATTATTTGCAGTTTCTGAATTTTTCGAATATCTTAAAATGGTTCAGATTTTCATTTATTGAAGATTTAATTCAAGTCAAATTCAAAAAGATGAATATTTTTGTGGATAGTACTCAGATCAATTACTATTATTACCACCTTGCCGGGAATGTTATAGGGGTATTAGTGCTAGTTTAGAAGGCATTTATGTTACTTTATCGATCTGAGCAATATGTGACGTCATAGTGGCGGGCCATAGTTGCGGGCCAATTATGCATTAACGCCCGGCAATTTTCCCCGGGAAATGACATATCTTTCAATGCATATAATTTTTGCTATTTCAGCCCTGGGCATTAACTGTGGTAATACTAATAACCTCATTTCTGCAGGCAATATTAAACAAATACTGGATGATCAGGAGCTTGATATGGCAGAATACCTATTTGAGAAAAAAATATTGGGCGAGGCAGTATTTATTAATTTCAATATAGAGTGTTCGGGTTCTAGCATTGCCTCATGGGATAGTCTATTTTCTACTAAATAAAATAATCTATTACTAAAGTTATGTGCTTGCAGAGATAGCCTGTATTGCAAAAATCATATATCCTTTCACCCCACATCATATCATATGCTTTATTGATGTTAAAATCCAATTTTATAAATAGCGCGAATACATTCTTAATTCATCTTAGATTATAATTTGAATGCAAAAGCCGATTCATAAGTAGATAATTCGTTGTAAACTTCAAAAGTGTCAATATCTAATATTTTTTATTATTATGGACCTCTGTTAAACCCCTCAATGATAAGTAAACGATAATGTTGACAGGTCCTCAACGGATGAAAACGTATGTAGGAATATATGTTTTATCATTTAACAATTGGCGGATCAACGATTAAACACGATGATGTTAAAATAAAGTGAACTAAATGGAACCATTATTTTTTATCATTTTGAATGCAAAATATAGTCAGACAGACGATCCTAGTTTCAATTAAACAGATAAAATCAATATGTCATACTAATAAACTTTACAAAAGCCGATAAATGAGGAGATAATCTGTTGTAAACTTCAAAAATATCAAAATCTAATATTTTTGTTGACCCCTGTTAAACCCCTCAATAATAAGGAAACGGTAATGTTGACAGGTCCTCAACAGGTGAAAATGTATATAGGAATATATGTTTTATCATTTAAACATCAAAACAATTGCCGGACAAAAAACAAGATGATGTTAAAAGAAAATGAACTGTAAATGGAATCATTGTTTTTAATCATATTGAATGCACAATATAATCAGATAGACGATTTTATTTTCAATTAAACAGATAAGATCAATACGTCATACTAATTAGAAAATGGCAACTTCACGGAGTAGCCCAACGAACACCATATAAATCATCAATCTGTACAGTCACAATGTAATATTTACCATCTACTCTTTCCTTCAATAAATATTTTAGATCATTGTAACCATACTTTAAAGATGACTCTAAGTAATGTCGAATATCTGCTCTAGTCGGATATTTTGAATTTTCAGAGGCACACATCCGAAAAACACTGCCATCATTGTTATCTACTCTGAAATTCCTTCAATTTGAGTATAATGTAGCCATACTTTTAAGAGATCAGAAATAATTGCAAAATCCCGCATTAGACAGCCATTTTGAATTTTTTGAGGCCCGAATCAGAAAAACGCTACAATATTTGCAATCTATTCTAAATTGCCTTTCATTTGAGTATAATAAAGCTACACTTCAAAAACATCTCAAAATTAATGCAAATGTGTGTTTTCCCAACCCCCCCCCCCCCCATTAACGGCCCCTGGGGGTCAGGGTGAAAAATCCAGGATATATGTGAAATAGATAGATACCGTTGATATACTACCAATATTTTAAATAATAATGTTTCTTATTTTGGTTTAAAATGAAAAACATAAGATTTTTTCGAAAAATTCCCGCCATTTTTGGCGGCCATCTTGAAATTTTTTTGCGTATAACTATTCACCAATATACATCTTTCCACCAAATATGAAGAAAATCTGTGTATTTATTCAAGTTATCTTCCGGACAGACGGACGGATGGACTGACTGTCTGACTGACTGACGGACGGAGGGCTTCACTCTATCCCTACTGAACTTCGTTCGATGGGATAATAAACTTTCCAAAAGCCGATTAATGAGTAGATAATCTGCTGTAAACTTCAAAAATATCAAAATCTAATATTTTTGTTGACCCCTGTTAAACCCCTCAATAATAAGTAAACGGTAATGTTGACAGGTCCTCAACAGGTGAAAATGTATGTAGTAATATATGTTTTATCATTTAAACATATCAAAACAATTGGCGGATCAACAAAAAACAAGATGATGTTAAAAGAAAGTGAACTAAATGGAACCATTATTTTTAATCATTTTGAATGTTAAATATAATCAGACAAACAATCTTATTTTCAATTAAACAGATAAAATCAATAGGTCATCCTGATAAGTTTCCCAAAAACCGATTCATCCGTTGTAAACTTCAAGAATATCAAAATCTAATATTTTTTATTTTTGTGGACCCCTGTCAAACCCCTCAATAATAAGTAAATGGTAAGGTTGACAAGTGCTCAACATGTGAAAACGTATGTAGGAATATATGTTTTATCATTTAGATATATCAAAACAATTGACGGATCAACAAAAAACAAGATGATGTTAAAAGAAAGTGAACTTAATGGAACAATTATTTTTAATCATTTTGAATGCAAAATATAATCAGACAGACGATCTTATTTTCAATTAAACAGATAAAATCAATATGTCATGCTAATAATCTTCCCAAAATCCGATTCATAAGTATATAATCCGTTGTAAACTTCAAGAATATCAAAATCTAAGATTTTAAAATTTTTGCGGACCCCTGTTAAACCCCTCAATAATAAGTAAATGGTAATGTTGACAAGTGCTCAACAAGTGAAAACGTATGCAGGAATATATGTTTCATCATTTGAACTCATCAAAACAATTGCAGGATGAACAGGAGGAAACAGCTTAATTAAGGCTTATCTGAAAAATTCCTTTATCCCTATTGGTCTTCTGGTATTGGATTGTGATATTGGTTCTTGAATGGTGGGGGAAGGGGGGAAGGGGGTATTAGACATTGTTTCTTTTCACGTTAGATCATGGTTTTGGGCTACATGGGGTTTGTTTTCTTGACTGGTCTGGTATGCACTTAGAGTTTGCTTTTTCTTGCTAAGTTCCATTACAACTTTTAGTCCTTTCCCTTTGGCACTAGTGCTTTTAAACTATACTCGTTAGTTGGTCATTCCCCTGGGGCGCCCTCGGGTCATTACACCGCATACTGACTGTCACGGGTTTTAAAAGAAAACCCCTTCACTCTTTTCTTCATCCTAGGTTTAATCAGTTCTACAACTAAGGACACTAAGAGTGAAAGAAGGAGAAAGTGGGTGATAACATTATACTGTGACCGTCACAATACATATTTAGTTCGAAATTCCTAAGGGCTAAATAATTATTGCCTGTATACAAAGCACATTCAGCTTAGATTCGACCTAGGATCCAACCTAAGCTCACAAACGCGGCCGGGGGCTTCTTATAAACAGTATAAATAAACATGATTTTTATTGACAGGCAGTTGACAGGTGTTACAAACATGACAGGTCCCCTTTGCGACATCAACAAACAAGGCTACTTTGCGGCCACGATTTTACCGGGAAAAGTCTTGTATTTCCTGTCAGTGAGTTTATTACTGTGGTGAAGAATACTAAGATCAACCAAAGCGTACAATATAAGCAGAGTGACCGAATTTTAGGCTGTATTTGACGGAGCGGATTTAACGTGTAAATCAGACATGCCACCCAAAAAGAAGCATAAAAAAGGTGCAAAATTAGATTCCAAAGTTTCCAAAACATGCAACCAGACTCCTGAGATGCAACCAACTCATATTGTTGCTACAAGTACAAGAACTAAATTGTAGCCAATTTTAATCAAGAAAGAGCTAGGGTCACTCAGAGTGAGTTACCATATTCTATGGCCACTGAGTGTGGCCATACAATATAAATAAGACACTCTTTGTTGTTTTGAATTTGCCTCAAATTGCCGAGCCGACTTAGACCTATTGATGTAAACATAATAAACTCACCTTCATTGATCTTTACACGTAGTCCTATTTCATAAATTGGTCTACCTCGCAGGATATTTATTCACAAAATAAAACTGAAGGAAATTTTTACAACAAGCGGCTTACTTCGGTCCAAAGCCTTCTCTATATTCCGGCTTTGAGGAGGAAGATTGAGCTGCCTTAGTATTATAAATATTGTAAATCATTGTGTCACACGCACAGTAAATATGGCATAATAATATGAAATATACCTTTATGTATAGATTTGAAGAACATCAGCTCACATCCCCGTCTGAATCTATTGTTATATTTGATTTCTTTAAGCGAGAATAATTTCAAATGTTATTCACGTCCAGAACCGGAAGCCATTTTTAGCTACAGCGAGAAAATTTCACCATGTGTCAAAACTCCGAAATGAAATTTTGTAGCACAGTACATACGAAATCAATGAAGTTTCGTCTAGCTGTAAGCTAGAGACTCGAGTAACAAGCGGCCATCTTGACTAAATCGCTATAGCGGAAAAAAGGCATGCTTTCAAAATGAAGAACGAGACGACGTCTATTTTAAATGAAAACGTTCAATATCCCATCAACAAGATAAGCCGTTATCATTTCAATTCATGAAATATTAACAGAATGATTTTTAGAATATTACATGAATTCATTGAACGCCGGCTTAAGCTTTACAATAGTTCATGGTGTTCCAGATGGAAACACTTCTAGCCAAGAATTGGCTAGAGACTCGAGTAAACTCAGAGCCTGGTTGCAGTTTGCACACTTTGGATCTGATTCTGAAATCGACCAAGCAAAGCGTACAATATGCGGGGTTCAATATAAGATGGACCGTATTTTATATACATATTTGCAGACTGTCCAACTGTCCCACAATTTACGTACTTGTCACACATTTGCTGGAAAATTTGAAGTCACGCCAGTTTTTTTTTGCGTGACAGAATATGTCACACAAATCTTCCAAAAAGTGATCACCGATACAGAAAAAAAAGAACGCCGAAAAAAACGAACGCATTTCGTTCTTCAAGGTCAGGGTGCATGATGGGAAATTTTCTGCATTCCTCAATTGAGTCACATGTTATTTTTCAAACAAGAATCACTCCTTCCCTTCATTGTCTATATCTTCCAGTTTTGTACAAAGAGTGCACTTATGTGCCTAGAAAAGACTTGTGAGAAGAATGTTTTGATAAAGTGTATAAAAAACAAGAAAATTCAGTGAAAAAAAATTTTCAGAATTTTTTTTCAATGAGTTTTCTCATTTTTTATACATTTTACAAAACAAACCTTCTCACAAGGCTTTTCTAGGCACAGAAGTGCACTCTTTGTGCAAACTTGGAAGATGTAGACAATGTGGGGAATGAGTTATTCATGTTTGAAAAATAACATGTGACTCAATTGAGGAATGCAGAAAATTTCCCAACATGCACCTGTCCTTAATTACAAGCGCATTTCGTTCTTTAATTGACAGATTCAACTCTGAACAAAAACAGAGTCTAGGGAACATTAGAGGGAGAGATATACAGTGGGAAATATGTAGCAGGAGACCGTGGGATACATATATACACTGTATGTCTTGCTCCCTTGAGATATCAGTTCTGTATTCGATACCTGATGAGGTTTCAGGGACATATTAACCTGGAATATATTCAATATCTGGGTGAATATATTTCATGTCCTGCTCCAATGTAGCCTTGAAGAAGGCTTTAGCATTTGTTGATTTTTAAAATTTGGATATTTTTTTCCAAATGTAAAGCCTTGTATCATCCCCAAATTTTAAAAATCAACAAATGCTAAAGCCTTCTTCAAGGCTAGCTCCAATGAGGATCAGGGATATATAAATCATATATCCCTCATAAGGCTATCTCCGGGACATACGATGGCTATAAATCCCGCCCTGGGAATTCCTGTCATAACTATTTCAGCACTGAAACAAAAGACAGAGATGGCAGACAAACATGTGCAGTGTGAACAAAATAAAAAATCTAAAACAAATAATGCGAAAACTTTTTTAGGTGCTCACTGCTCAAGTACTGAAGGAGTTAGTCAGCAAGTTAACGCATCGGCATATGGAACACATGCTTTCAAACCTCATCAGGTCTGGAATACAACAGCCATGCACGGTCAGTTTTGGTACAGGAAATTTCCCTTGGGATATACAATATATCTTTCCTTGGTTCCTTCGGGCCCTCCGGAAGATATATTGTATATCCCTCGTGATATTCCCTGTATCTAAAACCTCCCAGTGCATAACCCCATTATATCCCGCTGTTATGTACCCAAAACCTTACTTGTCATAGGATAATGTAATTTACATTCAGAAATTGCATTTTAGGATCTGTTGGTGGCAGTGTTTCAACTGAAACTTTGAAGAAAGTGACATCATCTAAAAAACCTTTGGAAGAAGTTCCTGTGTCAAATGATGTATTCCCTCATTGGTTGATGAAATCTGAGCCTGAAACACGCATGGAAAAGGGTGTGGATGTAAAGGTGAGTGTGAGACCATACACTTTGAATTTATTATCCCTACCCCTATAAATAAATATGGGTCTTTATTGACTTTAATATAGTGATATGGTTCCATGCCAATATATTATATTTTTCGGTGAATACTTCTAGCAACAAAAGAATCCCCACAAGCACATAGCAATTACTCCCTTCATGTCAATTTCTTGTGGAAAAATAAGAATCTAAAAGTAAACCAATAGTGATCATTTTAGAAAAAATACACACCCTATTTTAGACACTGAATTGAATATTGTTTGAAATAACATTTGTGTTTTTAGTTTGGTATTGAAGACCTCAAAAAGGAACCAGATCAAACGGCATGCTGGGATGGGGTCAGGAATTATCAGGTTAGTCAAGATCAAACCATAGATATTGTATGTAGTTATGGACACACATTTAGTTAGTCTTGCTCAAAGACTGTATCCACCCCCCTGTCACATGTGTCACCTTCACTCTCTTTACCTGGCGATATAGAGAGAAGGATAAAGGGGGGGGGGGGAGTACAGGGTCTTTTAAGCAAGACTTACATTTAGTGTGTATTCGCTAGAAAATATTGCAACTAGCAGTGAACTAACATTATATAATCTGTTTTATGAAGATTCTAGCGAACATGTTGTCATTTGGTGTTAGTTTGAGATAGTTATCATGCAATAAAGCTATTAAAGCAACAGGGTCCAGGATAGCCTATTGATATTATAAATGATAAACCTCATTTGAAAGATTAGGTAAACAGATAAAATCGATTGTTGAGTCAAAAGTCGACCCCACTCGGAAGCTGGTGCTTTCACGGACTTCTCAGCTGTGGGCAATAAAATCTATTCAAATGCAAATTGGGTAATCATTATTTCAGCTGATGGTCCGATATTTGGTATATAACGAATGCACACTTAGAATTACATGTACATACTCCTCTTTGTAATACATTTACAATACAATCTCTCAAGTGAAACACCTTTCAAAGTTCTGTGACCCATTGACCTTAAGTTTATTGAACCCCTAAAAGTGAACACAGGAAGGTAGTTTCACTTACAAATGTACTTACCAGAGAGATGAAATTATACAGAAATTATTTAAAGGTTGTATATTAAACTATTAAAGTGTTCCCACTCCTTTTCAAAGCCTTAACACAGCATGTTGCTGTGGATACATTTTTACTTGGACATTAGTAGTGGATACTCATCTTTCATTCCATGTAAAGTAAACAGAAATTGAAAGCATATTGACGGAGTGGGAGCTGTTGCAATGACCCCTACTTTTAGAAACATTTTGTCCAGTGTAATTAGTAAGGGACCCCTAAATCCAATTACAATAACATTGCCCTATAATGAGCAATAATACCCTCCATGAAGTAACTGAACCTGTGGCGCATTTTATGTTGTTCATTTCAAATATTTAAATCAGTATGCCATTGCCATTGTGAAGTTGTATTGTTATTGTAAAATTTATATTTTCATTATGAATTCTTTCAGGCGCGGAATTTTATGCGTGACCAAATGAAAGTAGGTCAGCTAGCATTCTTCTATCACAGTAATTGTAAGCCACCTGGCATTGCGGGAATTGTTGAGGTAAGATATTGTATCAGTCTCTGTTCATGTCATACAACTGTTTGATGCGAAATCAAAGATACATAAATCATTGGTTGAGCATATGAATTAGTAAGAAGGATAATAAAAATGCAAAGGGCAACATTTATATACACAAGTAAATACTTGTTCAAACAGTTTCAAATAGTTAATAACATTTTTGCATTCAGTTCAAAAAATTACTCATGTGCAAAAAATCTATAATTGGTGAAAAGTGGTTCCATATCCATATGGAGACCAAGGTATTGATTTTCAGAGTGTAAGATGTATGTTTCATTCTAGATCGTCAAGGAGTCATACCCCGACCACACACAGTTTGATAAGAAAGATGTCCACTTTGATAGGTAAGTACTTAGGGACCACCTCATATATTTCACACCAAATTCTACATGTTATCAAGTTTGTTTAGTTAGTGGATGGAAAAAAGCTTTGTTTGTAAATGGAAAGAAATCTTTGAATCAGGGAAATGGTAACTAGTATAACATCAGTTGAGTTCACTATTGTTTCACCGTTAACTGCCTTGCATGGTCCCATGCCACAGAAAAATGCCCCATCATGAATAAACACCATACAAGTGGTAAGTGGTAATAGATGGCCCTGTGGGGCAGTGGGATCAGGGCTTTTCCAGTATCACATTCGCTTTAAATTCTTTCATTTTATTTGATGTAGCACGGCTAAGAAAGAGGACCCTAGATGGCACATGGTAGATGTAAAATATATACGAATGTTGAAGAGATACATATCACTGAATGAGTTAAAACACTACCACTTAGAGCACAAGGCAAGCAAGGGACCCCTCAGCAATATAGCCCTATTTACCAGGGCTAGATTATCTGTACAACCAGTCACCAAAGGTGGGTATTGCTTGTGATGTATTTCTTTTATGATGGCTCAGACACCCCTGTTGATGAAATAGATAATGATATTGTGTTTCTTGTATACTACAGTACTACATGTAGCTACTGTACATAGTATACACATTAAATATTTTAATTAACAATACTTTTTGGTTATTCTCTCTTTTCCTCCATATTTTGATTTTAAAATATGGAATTTCTTTTCCAGAGGAATGGGAGTTCATACTTACACTAGAAGACCAAGATCCACCTAAGGGAATAAAATGACCAAACAATTATTGAAAGTTATTTTGAAAGATATTCCTTAGAGGTATAACATAGATGCATGCTATCACTGTTATACACATGGTCATATTCCTAAATAGTGGATATTAGTTCATCTCATAAGAAATTCCACTGAACTATTAGGCAGAGGATACAAGGCCCAACATAATACCAGGAATGCCAAAAAAACTGGACAATCAGATTCATATATTTGCAATGACCTAGTTAGAACAAGACTTGACAAGATAGTGATTTTATTTTTGTAACAATTAACATATTACTGAATACAATGTACAGTGTACATATTTCTATACAATGTGTACATGTGCATTGTACATGTACTCTATACATTTAGACATGTATTTTGAAATATACTAATAGATATAAATAGATATACAATATACTGTTTTTCCATCTTAGCTTATTAAATTTATTAAGGTTTAAAGTTGAATTGAATACTGTAAGAGCAGTTATAGACACATTTTATATACTTAAATAGGCCAGTCACTTATGTTCAGTGGATAACCTACATTGTCCCAGAAATTACATTTTACAGAATCATAATCAGTTTCTAGTGAACTCTCTGGAGTTTTAAAATGCATAAATGGCCAATTATTTTCCTGGTTATATTTTGACCATTTGGATAAATTCAAATTTTTCAAGTCCTCATTGTATCCCGTGTTAGGGTCTCCAGTTTTTGCGAAGTTTGTCCAATATGTTAACATGGTGGAGGATAATGCGTTTTCCTCATAAGAGTTGAAGGTTACAGACTTAAATGTATATTCAAGTTCATCACCATGACAAGACTTGTGCTCACATCCATCTGATGGGTTTACAGTTTCCCCATGGTCAAACAAATACATATAGATATTTGATTGGATTGAAACAATCGAGCGTGTGGCATTTCTAGTCGGGCAAATAAAGTTATAATCCGTGATGATTTGTGACACTTGCTCTCTATTATCATCATTAATTACACTTGGGGGGTACTTTTCATTCACATTAAGAAAGTGTCTCGGAAATGCTAGTTTCATGGCAGCCTCGTATTCCAAGACATTGATTTTATCAGTGATTGCGTAATAAACAAAAAGATTTCCTTCATCTTTTACATTCCCAATTATCAATGATTTAGTCGTATCAAACCGCCCTTCTCTGAAGGCTACCAATGGCTGTTCTAGAATCAAATCATTGTCAATAACAGGAGTCCATAACTCTTCCCACTGGAAATAGTTTGGCGATTTTCTCACATATGATGCACTCCTAAATGCAATAGTATCCCCAAATGTAATTTGCGCATCAACAATTTCTTTGGCAGTTTTACTCCTGAGGCAAGGCATGACTTTATCAGGTGCTTCTGGGTTTTCACATTTCAGGATGAAAACAGGAGCATTTGCAATTGTCTTGGCACTTTCAGTTGACTGTATTGGGATACCAAGAGGATTACTCAAAATGGCCGCTTTTTGGAAGAGAGATCCACTCTGTGGTATCATCAGATGTAGACCCACTGACTGGGCTCCTGCACTCTGGCCAAATAGTGTCACCTGGAATCAAGTAATGTAACATCACGTGGTCTCACATGGTATCAATGCCAATTTTTTTTCATTTCAAAAAATATTTGATTAAAAAAATAATGAGAAAAAGAGCCTGGTCATGTCTTCTTTTTTATTTTATGATGCTATGATAAATAGACAAGAAACTTATAGGAGCTTTACCTGGTATCTATCTCCTCCAAAGTTTGCTATATTGTGTTGAACCCATTCTAGGGCAAGGATCTGGTCCTTTAGGCCATAGTTGCCTGAAGCTGCTCCGAGCCCAGAACCATACACCATAAATCCTAGTGCCCCTAAAATACATGACATCATTAATTGTCCATACATAATGAATCCTTATGGCCCTGAAAAACATGACATCATTAATTCCACATACACCTTGAATCCTAGTGCCCCTAAAATACATGACATTATTAATTGTCCATACACAATGAATCCCAATGCCCCTGAAATACATGACATCATTAATTCCACATAAACTTTGAATCTTAGTGCCCCTGAATTACATTATACATTATGAATCCTAGTGCCCCTGAAATACATGACATCATTTATTCACCATACACTCATCCTCCGATCATCACTTTCTTTTTACCCCCTGCGATAAGCAGTTACCATTTCCCTGATTAAGAACTCGCGATCTGATTGGCTGTCGCAACACTGCGACAGAAATCGTGTATAAGCCATTGCGCATAATTAGATCATATGATTCAGTTAAACTGGGCGCTTCCAAATTGGTTATAGCAGGGGAAGAAGGATGTACAGATTCTGGACACCTGCTTAGGAGGATGCCATACACTATGAACCCCAGTGCAACTGAAATACATGACATCATTCATGGCCCATACACCATGAACCCCAGTGCAACTGAAATTTATGACATCATTAATGGCCCATATACCATAAACTCCAATACCCCTGATTACATGACGTCATTAATGGCCCATCTCTAATGCATAGTCCCTTAGAAAGTTTGTAGTTAATAGTAGCTAAAATGAAACCATCCATAGCCTGTAATTAATGGTAACTGAAATAAGACCATACCTAGTCTGTAGTTAATGGTAACCAGTATAACACCAGTTGAGTTCACCATTGTTTCACCATTAAATGCCTTGCATGGTCCCATGCCACAGAAAAATGCCCCACCATGAATAAACACCATCACTGGTAATAGATGGCTCTGTTTTAGTGGGGCAAACACATTTAGTTGGAGGCAGTCTTCTGATGTCTGAAATACATGAGTGGTTTCGTAAGACAAGGTTCGCTATGTATCAGGATTTGTTATCACAAATTGGTTATCCTATTAAAAGGCACCAATGGCAACATTTGAAATGATAAGTGTGTGTGAAGAATTTAAGTCTAAGACTCAACATGCCCAAGATACATTGTGGTCATGCAAAGATTTGGAAACAACACCTTCAATTGAATGATTCAGCATACAATGCACTGGGTTCAGGGCTTAAATCAGACTTAACACATGCTCTAAATGAGATTTCTAGTACCAAGTTTTTGATGGGGAGTGTACCTTAGTTGGGCAGAAGTCTCCTCCCAACATACAGGTCTGAGGGCAGCCCACCCCTGGCGTGGAACAGTTCAACACACTGTTCCAGGGGTTGGGAGGTTGTGGATCAGTCCATCTTAGTTCACCCACAGGGGGAGCAGCATATGGTATACCATACCTGCAATTAGAGTGCCATCTATCATGTAATATGATTATTGAATTGATGTAAATAATCAGATAACATTTCAGTTCCTCTGATCTGATTGTCAAGGTCATTCATTTGATCTGTCCGCTCATACCATGTGTGCATACTATCTTCATATTGCTGAATCAATATTGTTAATTTAATGGCCTCTATTTTAGTTCCTTTCCCCTTGTTGCTTTTTAGATGTTACATAATTAGAATTCTGTGCATGTATTTGGAACAACTAAAGATATCAATTATTAAAACTTACCAGATATTAGCCTTTCCTGTGGTGATACCCTTGACCATTCCAAACTTGGTTTTAACATTAAGGCCCATTGCTTGAATACATAGCAGTTCCATTAACATGCAGACAATGGGAAACATAACAGCCATGATTGAAATGTGGAATTGAGATGTTACACTAATAAAAAATTCATTGTTAAATATTTACAGCCTTAAGGGCTATCTTAAAACTTAATAGAACTGCTTGCACCAGAATTTCAATTTTGATTGGTTGAAACCTGGACAATAGCTTTAACTATTCCAAGAGATCCAATTTTCTTTCAAAATAAGCATTGATTTTTTAAAATATTTGAAAAGAAGATGTCTCCTTATTAGCAACACATTGATTTTGAATTCAGGAGTTTATTGTACAAGCAAATATATCATTGAGATTATTTAGTACAAAGCTATATTAAGTATGCATGTGCAAGAGAATGCCAGATAAGATGTATTGGATTGTTTTTAACATTTTGTTTATCTCTGTAATGATGTGGAGCTGTCAGTTGAAGTAGAGGGTCAGGGTTGGACATGTGCTTGACATAAGTGTGTGTTTTTAAACCCATATCAACTATTTATCTATATAGATGTACATGATGTAGATGTGTGCATCATATTTGAGGGCTTGTCTAAATATGCCTCTTTTCTATTCTTTAATTGGCTGACACAAGAAGGCCCCCTAGTCTTACATATCATATGATCATGACTTTAACAATATATTTAAGCCCATTTGTAATGAAATGGGGGGTGGGGGGGGGGGGGGGGGGTCCTCAAGATGTTTCGGAATCTTGTAAATCTCATATTAATTCTGGCCTCTTTAGTTTCAACAACAAACATTCAAATTTTTGATTAATATTATCAACCAAAAAAAGAAAACTATGCATTCATATTTTTTAATATTTTATATTCTTTTTTATTTTCTTCTTATTCTATGTGACAGCTACACTTACATGAATACATGAATCTATGTCTAATCACTACTCTATAAATAATTTCACAATATCATACACAAGTGCTCTTTACAGATGACAATATATCACTACTCAGTATAGCACACAACCCCAGAAAATGTTCATCCGTTAAAATGTGACAATACCTCCATTGGTCGCTGTGCACCATACTAATATCACTTTACAGTTAATGGCACAGCCCCAATTAAACCCAAAGTGAGGCAATCTTCAAATTGAGGAAATGGACACATTCAGAGAACGCTCAAATTATCATAAATGGTCAAGTTTTGGGGTAGTGTGTGAGACTGATAACATTAATTTACATTCATTTGAATATGAGGTACTGAATATAAGATACAGTATTTAATGAGGTACAATACTGAATATGAGGTACAATACTGGCAAATCAAGTTTGATACACAATAGTACTAGAATGGCATTTGTATCATAGAGTGAAGATGGCGATACTCTCAAACAACCTTGTACATGTGACCACTCCTACCATATAAACATGCGAAATACTTGAACACTTTTCTTCACATTAAAGGCTCATTTGGCCATCTTTTAAAAAAGATTATTTTTAAAGTAAGTGGTTAAAGATAATTGTTCAACATAAATATACAGTTTTATCAGGAGCTAGAGATTTTCCAAAAATGTCATTTGTCAAGTATTATGCTAGTACTATCATATAGACAAACACATCCGAGGCAATATATTGGCCAAAATTGCTCTTTTTTAGAAATCACAAAAATCATGAGAGGTATTCAGAATCAGCGCACCATGCAATGTATAGATTGTAATTTACAAGGACTACACAGATTAATAACTAATACAAGGAGATAGTATTCGAACAATAACATGGTCCCTTGTGGTTGAGTTATTGTCCTGGCACATGTTATGCCCCGTGTACTAAGTATTAGGTAAATAAAAATGTTTTAAATCATACAATAACCTAATAAACATAATAAAAATGATAATTTGTAATTATTAGTTATTGATTTGCGTAGTCCCTCATTAACAAGAACTTTTATTAATGTTCTTTAATCTGAGTTGAGGTAATTTTAAAAAAATGTGTTAGGTGTTCTTTATGTTAGTGCAGACAGTGTATATTTCTAAGTACAGTGCATTAAAATAACTTATTTTGGATTATGAGGTGCTGAATTATCCTGAATTTAATGAGATGAATTAGGATTTCAATGCCTGAGTTAATCTAATGTTATGATAAATACAGGGTGTCCACACTGTATTATAATTGTAAAGATACTTTATGATCACCCTTTACATTTATGAACACAATGGTATAATAATATACAACCTTACATCAAATAGATACATAACCCATCAAGAAGTGTTTCAGAAATGTATTCTATACTCACGATTTTCTAAAGAGTATCTATCTATTTTAAATAAGATAAAATAAAAACATAAAATTTAAAAAGTTTATCTGTTGAATACTACAGCATTTTTCATTTTTATGAGTTTCACCTCTTTTTTCCCCAATAAACAGTATTTGGTGTTCATTTTGATGTAGTTAGTGAAACTGGCCAAGTATACACACTCAAACACACAATTTGTGTAAATACTAAATTGGAAAAATTTGTCAAGTTGGGACTATTTTATTGGGAATTTATGTGATATTTCTGTCACTGGTATTCAAAAGATTAAGATTTTCACATTGTGTTATTACATAAGGAGCAGGGAAGGGGGAGGAGTAAATTTCTGAAATGAGAAAAAGTCTTGTTTCCTGATTTTACAAAACTTTGCAAGCTAAACAAAATTTAATACCCCTAGCCTTATTTGAGACTATATATAAAGGTGGTAGAAAGGGTAGGTCCTCAACAATTACAAGGTTCTCCCATGTCATGATTCTCCCATGATTTTATATTGTTCTCCCATGATCTCATATGGTTCTCCCACAATCTCATGTGGTTCTCCCATGATCGCATATGGTTCTCACATGATCTCATATGGATCTCCCATGATCTCATATGGTTCTCCCATGATCGCATATGGTTCTCACATGATCTCATATGGTTTTTCCATGATCTCATATGGTTCTCCCATGATCTCATGTGGTTCTCACATGATCTCATATGATTCTCATATGGATCTTCCATGATCTCATATGGTTCTTCCATGGTCTGATATGGTTCTCACATGATCTCATATGGTTCTCCCATGATTTAATATGGTTCTCCCATGATCTCATATGGTTCTCCCATGATCTCATATGGTTCTCCCATGATCTCATATGGTTCTCCCATGATCTCATGATTCTCACATGACTTTATGATTCACACACATATCTCATGGTTCTCCCCTGTCTCTTTACACTCTATGCGCTTCAAAGCATGCCCCCTGTTGAATCTTGGAAATATTAGAATGATTATTTGATGATGTGTTTACAAACTGCAACCACTGGTAGATATAGATACACATACAACTTCAATACCAGTGACCAGTGTATAAAATAAGACTTGAAAATAGATGGAGTAAAATATTTTCTCCTGTTGTAAAATTCATACAAATCTGACATCTAATTACAACAGCGTTGCTATGTATTTATAATTCTGAACATAGGTGTCTCTACTAGTCTAGTAGGCCATCTGCATATATTGTCTGGTGGTGCCACCTATGTTCAAATATGTACACCATGATTATCTTAATATACAGCCATACATACAGCAGTTCAACATATAACCTCTCATAATAATATATTCTGTTCACCCTATATAAATTACTGCATAAATATCACAAAATGTATCTTTATGAGAGGGACTTTGGTTAGCACAGATATCATACAAACACTAGTGAACATTTTCAACAATTTCAAACATAAATATTTGAGGTAATCTATAATTAAGACAATGTGCACAATGAATATGCACAATAACATACAATAATGTGTACAATAATGCACAAAGTATGTGCACAGAAATGGTCAATATCCACCGAAACAACATATAATTCTATGATGAAAGTTCACATAAAATCCAGAACAAAACTTTGGGAGAAAAATGTATTCAACGCATTGGGAAAATTTATGTAACACAAAAGACAATAGTGTGAACATTTTCAAAAACATTTCTATAATCCATAAACATCTGAACTGAAGTCTTGACTATCCATTAAAATCATTCTTTACTGAAATTCCTTTTGCACTCCTCAGATTTTTCCAACAAAATGGCTAACATAAATAGTTTATCTCTAGTTTGATTGAACGCATTGTAAAATCCATTGTTTTGTCCTATAGAATCGTTCATTACATTTTCATTCCACCATTTTCTCATTTTTTGGGTGACTATGTACAGTTTACACGGTGGCACTCTGTATCATATATGGACTGTGTTGTAGCATATATGGACTTTGTAGTATCATATACAGATTGTGATTTACTCAACTTAACATTTCAGAACATGCACTTTTGGATACTTCATTCACAATATGGCTTCCTAAAACTGTTGCTTTTAAATTATCAAAAGATTAACAATGAATGATGAAATGCCAATTATGGCCAATGCATACAATGATGAAATGCCAATGTATACTATGATGAAATGCCATTGGCCAATGCATACAATGATGAAATGCCAATGTATACTATGATGAAATGCCATTGGCCAATGCATACAATGATGAAATGCCAATGTATACTATGATGAAATGCCATTGGCCAATGCATACAATGATGAAAAGCCAATGTATACTATGATGAAATGCCATTGGCCAATGCATACAATGATGAAATGGCAAATGCCAATGTATACTATGATGAAATGCCATTGGCCAATGCATACAATGATGAAATGGCAAATGCCAATGTATACTATGATGAAATGCCATTGGCCAATGCATACAATGATGAAATGGCAAATGCCAATGTATACTATGATGAAATGCCATTGGCCAATGCATACAATGATGAAATGGCAAAAGCCAATGTATACTATGATGAAATGCCAATGACGCATTCAGACTAATTGTGATCATTTATATATTCTGCACCAGTTGACGTGTAACTTTCAAAATAAATTTTGAAACATTAGGCTAGGGCAAATTAATAAAATGTTTAGCTAATCTTTGCTCAAATATACCCGATATCATAGCACATGAGGTTCGGGGAAATAAACTGTGATATTTATGGCATATATAATCTATGTTGACAGAAATGTGTAAAAAATAAAAGCCTCAACTCTCAATTTCTTTAATATTATAATGCTATACACAGAATTAAATCACCCTAGCCTGAGGTAAAAAATCGTTACATTTCCCCTGACTTTAAAATGAACAGCACCATGTGTTTAAAATATCATACCTTAAAGGAGATTGCTTTAGAATATCTCTCTATGAAAAATATTAATGCAATACCCTTTAAGACACAGAAAATCAATAAAACCTGTGAGGTATGGTATGTCTTTGCAATTGGTTTAAAACTATTTTATAGGTCGCTAAAATGCCCGTATTAATTCAGCCCATACATAGTACATGTGATAATATATAAAGCAATAATTATACAGCGTAGTGTTATATACAAGACATCTATGTACACTTTCTCCCATTTGGTCTATATACATCAAATCAAGGGATCTCCTCTCCCTTATATATTTAAATAATAATAAAAAAACTAACCTGGGTCATAGATTGTTGCCATTCAAAGCCATAACAGTTTTAACATCAAGTAGATAAAATATTACTGCAGTCATGCTTTAAAATCCAAAATAGAGAGGGACAGAATGGAATAAGAGAAGTTGAATCAACAGGAGTTGAGAAAACCCTTCAAATTTTAAAGAAAAAAATATGGCAAAAGTCCTAAAAGAAAAGATAGATTGTGGGTTAGAGAGCCTTCATAATTAATTTTTTTGTGCTTAGTTGTGACTTCTTAATATTTCCCCGTTTTGTCTCCATAATGAGTTTTAAAGCATGACATCCTTGAAATCTTATTTAATGATAAGCATTCAACGTATTAAAACTAACAGTTTTAAACTCTTGAGGTAAAGTTTCAAAATATTTCCAAAATGTGATAACATTGGAAGTTCAAGTTAAGGTAGGCAGAGACAAATGATTAATCCATTCTAATTCATTCACCTTTACATACCTTAATCATGGAGTCAATGCACTTGAACTGTAGGGTACAGTAAAACCTGTTTAATATAAACATCTTATACTTTCAAACACATTTGCTGTTTAATTAACAAGTTTTACTGTATACTTTTTGAGGGAACAAATGATTGTATCAATTCCAGCAGATAATTATAATAAACACCCTGTATTCAACTACAAACATATAAATCATGCTTATTGTGTAACAAATATTTTCAGAAAATCTTGAAGTTCAACTTTTTAAAATAAGAGAGAATTTGTGTGACAGACTCCTAAAAACTTACAGGATCAAGTATTTTAACAAGATAGGAATAAATATGAAAATTCAACTGAAACTAAAATATCTTGTTGATTTAAATGTACTCGAGTTTTTTCATGCGTAGTATGAACACAGAAGTGTGGGGGGGTATTAATTACATGCAAAAATAAATATATCGCACCAGTTGATCACTCTACAGAAGTAGTGAGGTATAAGACAGAACTAAAATTTGAAGGTATGAGTTTCTATACTTCTTTCCTAACATTGATATGTTCTATATTCTAATAGAAGTCACCGCTCCCCGACTCAATAATGGCTACCAAATTCTGGCACACCCACCAGCTTTTTAACACAACCCTATGGTCAGTTGTCAACAGTTTCTAAGGGGTCTTCAGTGTCCGCTTCTCACAGACCCCTTTGTGGTTTTTACACCAACCTAGTTGACCTATCCAAACACCTAAATATCCTGAGGTTATTTCACCCGTAGGTGGTCAAAATGAGCCCCCCAGTCCCATGAGGTATATTTCTGCATCATTGGGGCTGGGACTGTTGGGGCTAACTCCCACCATCTTTGACTCTTACAATAATTTACGATAATGACTAAAATGGCTGAATCCGCTAGTTCTGTTTAAGTGAGACATGGCACTTTTGGCTACCACACTTTATACCCGCATCATGTTATCACAGAACACTGTCCTGTTTCAGCCATTTTGAAAAATGCATGATGGGTAATGATGAGTTTAAATTATGTGTTCTCAGGTAGGTAAATCAGCTGATTCTTCTGGATTATACCAGTCTTAGTCTTATGCTACATTGTCTATCATAGCATCTGTATTGGCAATATTCAAACTGAGCCACATATCCTCAAAATTCAAACTGAAAAGCAATGCCCAGCTGTTCCAGGAATAGCCATTACACCCTCAACTGATGGGTAATTTTGGCTCTTCTGACAATTAGTCTGACACCCCTGATTGATGAGTGATTAATTTATGAGCATATTGTTCTTTCTAGACAATTCCAAGAGCTCCGATGTTTCTCTGTAATAATGATGATGATAATGAAATGAGGTTGCTATGGCTACGTCTGCATTGGTGTTGTACTGTTGGGTGTGGATTCACTGCTGCCCTCTGGTGTTCGGAGTATACGACGTGGAACACGATTTCTACGTTGCTGTATCTTCCCTGGACCTGCAAAGTAATAACAATAATAGACATTTTTAATGACCTCCAAAACTGGCTTTAAAGAAGGATGAAACAAGGGCGGATTCAATACAGAGAACATACCTTCTTTGCAAATTCAATGTATTTGGGGTTCGGCTTTTTACCATATACTATTCTATAAACCAATAGAACAAGGAGTGTGCTAAGTTTAAATATTTTTCTTAAAATGTAAGATATTTCTGATGGTTTTTTAGTGAATTCTTATCATAAAACATACAGAAACAAAAGTTAAAACGAAGATTGTCCATATTTGTTTTGGTTGGGGAGAACAATGGGGTTCTCTCATTCTCCCAAATAGTTTTAGTCAATTCAAAAGTCTGAAAGCAGGAAATGTTTGGGTATATGGCCACAAACAATAAAACCAGAGGTGAAATGGTTTCATCTTTTAACAATAAACTCACCAGTATGGGTGTGAATTAGCCATAGTGCTGCAGTTAGCAAAACTCCTATTATGAAAGCTGCTACAGAGATGCCTATAACAGTTGGCGTATCAACTCCATTTATAATCACTGACTGGCACTTCTCTGTTATATCTGTGTTGATTTGAGATGTAGCATCATTCTTGGCATATGACCTATTGGGAATCTTGCTGTCATCTGTGTTAGCATGCTGAATTGGTTTTGTCTCAATAACTGAAACAAAACAAATAAAATCATTTTTGAAAAATAAAATTGCAGAAAAAGTCAAAGGGCTTATAAATTACAAATGTTTTGACATATAAAATTTGAGCCAAATCTATGGTATTTGAGTTATTAAAGATTATGTTTTTATGAAAAATGGTTGCCATTTTGAAATTCAGCTGTCATCTTTAAAATTTATTCTTTAGAAGAGCTCTTATGTCCCGAGGCATCAGCATATAAAAAATCCAAATCCGTCAACTGGTACTTCAGTTATCAAGGATTACATGTTTAATGAAAACTTGAAAATTTCTTCTCAAGCAGAGCTCCTTTATCTCTAGGCATCAGTATATAAAATTTGAAGTAAATCTGTCCACTGGTGGTCGCCGGGTTGGCCTAGTGGTTAAGGCATTGGTCTGAAAAGCAGGAAGTCTGGCTTCAGGCTGAAAAAGTAGAGGTCTTGGGTTCAAACCCAGGTCACAGCACTTCTTGTGATTTGTCTTTGACCTATGACTGCTGACCTGTACCGGCGATTACTAGAGTGCTGCTAACTCGATAAAAGGCTGGCGCTGGCTAGAATTGTCTATGGTTCTAGCCAGGATAAAGATACCAGTTCTTCAACTCGACAATGGGAAGAACTGCTCTACCTTAGTGACTAATATGTCATTGATATGACATCTAAAGAGTCAATAAAAGATATATATATATATTTGAGTTATCAAAGATTGCCTTTTTATGAAAAATGGCAGCAATTTTGAAATTCAGTTGATGCCTTTGAAATTGATGATGGCCATTTTGAAATTTAGCTGCCATCTTGAAAATCCCTTCTTGAGCTCCTATGTACCTAGGTATCAGCATGTAAAATTTGAATCAAATGGTATTTAATGGCCATCTTGAAGTTGTCTTCTTGAGCAAGGCTCTTTTGTACCCAGGCAACAGCACATAAAATTTGAACCAAATCCACCCTCTAGTAATTGAGTTATCAAAGACTATAGTTCTTAAGAAAATGGCTGCAATTTTAATAAGTGATCATATTAAAAATTCGTTCACACTTCACAAGCAGAGGTCCTACCCCCATAAGGCATAAGCCTATAAATTTGAATCAAATCTGTCAACCGAAATTTGAATTATTGCCCGAACAGACGGACAAACAGACCGACATACGGCTTTCCTAGTAATGTTAATAGCAATGCCATAAAATACAATAATAGCCCTTATAAAAATAAACATTACAATATGACTTTTTTAAGAACATGGAAATCAGAACAGAAAACTCTGACCTTGAGACCTGATGTGATACTGTTCAAAAGAATTTTTTTCATTTTAAGAGTGTAGATGGCAATCTCTTTTAAATAGAAGCAAATTAAGGGTTGGCTTACCTGGAGGGAGAGACTTTATCCTGGCTGTCTCAGTCATGAATGGTCCAAGGTGAACTATCTTCATGTGGCCATTGGCTGTATTTCCATAGCCATTAATGCCATTCTTCTTAAACAGACAGTATGTATCTGGGGCAACACACTGAAACAGAAATATGAACATATCCAATAAAAGTAGATAAGAATGAAATATTAAAAATCTGTGAATGTTTTTTTGTGAGGTTGACCAGCCATTTTGAAAAGGTACAAAGTTTTCACAAGGGCTTTATATGAGCCAGGGCACAGGAAAGGGGGTCTTATCACAGATCTTTACAATATTTGAATTTTTTGTTAATCTTAAAAAGCACAAAGTGCCTTTAAAATGAGTCATAGATTATGACTTAACAATTTTTCCATGCAGATGTAGACCAAAAAGACAGATTTGAATTTAGCACATTTTCCTCTTAATATTGGGCACATTTTTGGCTCTGTAGCAAAATTTTCAATTTTGTGATAAGACTGGTTTTCTTGTGTTGAGGTTCATAGTACTATTTCAAATTGTTTTATTTAACATAAGGTATACACTTGACATACTACATTATCCTCATAGTGTTTGCATACATACAAGATTTTGAACACCACATGCTGTCTTCTAAACCAATGCTTCAAATTGTGACAATTGGGATTTGCAAATATTCAATTTTGTCATCAAAACATGACGTATCCCGAGGAAGGATAACAAAACTATAATTTGCTTCCTGTTTGATAAAGTTGCGCTTCACAGGCTGAAAAGTGAAAACCCCGAAATATATCCTTGCATCATCAATTTTGAAAAGAAAGTGCATATACTAGGATCTTTAAGAAAGGAACACAGTCAAATATATCCCAGCATCTTCATTTTGCAATGAACACTAACAAACATTTGGCTTACTGTTTTGAAAAGCTGTGCTGCATAGTCTCTATCAGATGAACACACACCAAGCTCACAATGCAGGTACGTTTTCTCATCATTATGCAAGTAGTTCGAGAACAGGAAACTGAATCTTTTCTTTGCTATGTTGTTGCCTTCCTCCCACTCTGTCCTTTCCTCAAGTTTGCACCTAAATGAACATACAATGCACAATGTGACATTTATTGCACCTAAATGAACATAAAATGCACAATGTGACATTTATTGCAACTAAATGAACATACAATGCACAATGTGACATTTACTGCACCTAAATGAACATACAATGCACAATGTGACATTTATAGCACCTAAATGAACATACAATGCACAATATGACATTTATTGCACCTAAATGAACATACAATGCACAATGTGACATTTATAGAACCTAAATGAACATACAATGCACACTGTGACATTTATTGCATCTAAATGAACATAAAATGCACAATGTGACATTTATTGCACCTAAATGAACATAAAATGCACAATGTAACATTTATTGCACCTAAATGAACATAAAATGCACAATGTGACATTTATTGCACCTAAATGAACATACAATGCACAATGTGACATTTATTGCACCTAAATGAACATACAATGCACAATGTGACATTTACTGCACCTAAATGAACATACAATGCACAATGTGACATTTACTGCACCTAAATGAGCATACAATGCACAATGTGACATTTATTGCACCTAAATGAACATAAAATGCACAATGTGACATTTATTGCACCTAAATAAACATAAAATGTACAATGTGACATTTATTGCACCTAAATGAACATACAATGCACAATGTGACATTTATTGCACCTAAATGAACATACAATGCACAATGTGACATTTACTGCACCTAAATGAACATACAATGCACAATGTGACATTTATTGCACCTAAATGAACATACAATGCACAATGTGACATTTACTGCACCTAAATGAACATACAATGCACAATGTGACATTTACTGCACCTAAATGAACATACAATGCACAATGTGACATTTATAGCACCTAAATGAACATACAATGCACACTGTGACATTTATTGCACCTAAATGAACATACAATGCACAATGTGACATTTATTGCACCTAAATGAACAAACAATGCACAATGTGACATTTATTGCAGTTCCAATGAAACTATTAAATGTGAGTGAATATAATTCGTAACATTATCAATGGTAAAGCACTGATAATGTATTTTAATTCAAATGAATAACAGACCCAAATGAATTTCTTGTATACTTGATAATATCTGATGTATAATTGACTTATGGAAGACTTACAAGACCTCCAGAAGTGTACCTAGATTATGATAAAAATGGCATATGAAGTTACTATTTACTAACTTTGCGAAAAAACTTATTCACAACTTTTGAGAAATAAACCTCAGATTGTATCAAGGAGGATATCTTACCCAGATTGTATTAAAGGAGGAGTATGGTCCTTATGTTCCTTGCTTGTATCCAAGGGGTCAGTGGACAACCAGCATGTGTCAACTACAACATGTAGCCTCTTATCAGCATTAATACTAGCCTCAATGTTGATCTTTTCTTTCTCTTGCAGCAAGATTGGAAAATTTTTCTCTGGTGAGTTGAAATTATCAGTGAAAACTTCCAGCGAGTATCCCAAAGTGTCACGCAATTTAGGACCAAATTTGGGATGAATATGATGCTTGGGTTGTTCAATAGTCTTCCTTTCATCCGCTGTGTCTGATTTAAAGAGGCATTCGAAAGCAACTTTGATGGTTTCTCCAACTTGGAAGTCTTCATCATCAAGGTGAGTGTTTGCATCATCAGAGAACATCATTCCCATTCCTGAGTGGTCAGGAGGGTTGCCATGGCTACCACTGTATTCATCATCTATTGGTAACACCTTGATCTAAACATAAAAATATATTGCGTTATTAAACTTCAACACCAAGACAGAAAAGTGAAACATACTTAAAAAGGGTTGCATCAAAACAATGAGACATAACATGTTAAGAACATTAAAAAATATGAAATTTCCAATTTACACTAAAAAATATGAAATTTCCAAATTGAACATTTCAAAATCCCATGTATTGATAAGTTGCATACTATGTATTTGCTCTGAAAAAAGTAATTGAAAAATACTAAAATAATCACTACAAGTCATTCACTTTAGCATTTCTTAAAGAAAAACCTACTGAATTGGCATAGGCAACACCATCTGCATCTTCTCTCCTCTTAGTACCACATCCAGTGAATGGTGACTCCAGTATGAAGTGTGTCATATTTGACCTTGCAATGCATGATGTATCAGAGAGACTCAGGTGGCCAGCATCCATCCCAATCATCTGGAAATTAAGATAAGAGAAATATCAAGACGTGTGCTTTACAATCCAATGCTTGTTAATCGTGACTCATCCTTAACCATTCTCAGTACTCTAACTTGAATCCATTCATGAAATTTCATGACTTTTCCAGCCAAGGAAATACCATCTTTCTGCCTTTGTAAAAACCCTGCATTACTCCACATTTATTATACACATATTTGTTTAACCTCTTAACTACCCAGAGTGACAAGATTTCTTGTCACCTTAGAGATGAACTTGAAACCCAGAGTGACGAGATCTGTCGCATAAGTTTACACTAAAATTGCTCTTATTTGAACAACTTTTAGCCAATTTACACAAAATACATTTTAAAATGTCTAGAAATAATCTCTGTCGACTAATTTCTCTGGGAAAAATGAAAAATCCTCTGGTTTCAAACCAATTTTAGAGCTTGGGATTCAAGAGGTTAAATACCATATTCATTCAGCTTGGCATGACAGCAGGAGGGCTAATACAAATAATAACAACAAAAGCATTCATTTACTGTAATTATATATTTGTAAATATTTTCTTCCTGTTCTAAATTAGTTGCAAGCAGTGGAATTTATTTTCTACTAATAAATTCCTAGAGGTCAACAAATTGCAGCTTTGTCACTTAAAGGGCTTGGTGACAACATCACACCTTGATTATAGATAAGGAGTATTAAATTGAAAAGTTGATATTGCCACATCGTTTGTGGTCAAGTAATTGCAAAATTATGATTAGAATGGGTGAAAAACATAACACCTACATTACAGAAACAGAGCTTGAATTGAAACGTTGACATTCCCACATCATTTGTTGTCATTTTATTGCAAAATTATAATAACAATGGGGGAAAAATAGAGAGACATTGGAGTCCATGTCTCATTATCAATCCATAGAGATCAGGAGCATAGCCAGGATTCAAAGTTAGGTGAGACAAATTCAAATAGGTGAGGGAAATTCAAATAGGTGAGGGAAATTTAAACAGGCGAGGCAAATTCAAATAAATGAGGCAAATTGAAATAGGTGAGACAAATTCAAATAAGTGAGGAAAATTCAAATAGGTGAGGCAAATTCAAACAGGTGAGGCAAATTCAATTAGGTGAGGCAAATTCAAATAGGTGAGGCAAATTCAATTAGGTGAGGCAAATTCAATTAGGTCAGGCAAATTCAAATAAGTGAGGCAAATTCAAATAGGCGAGGCAAATTCAAATCAGTGAGGCTTACGAGGAAGATATTATATATGACTCTGGAACATAATTACCAGTTTCAGTGAAATAAGTCAAAATATTGGCATTTTTGCACAAAAATACTAGTGTTTTAGAAAAATCATTTTTGCATTCTTCCTGCCTATACCCAATGTCCTGTAAACCTTGTTCAATACACTTACCTGTAAAATGGGTTTTCTCAAGGACACCACCAGATGGCTCTTGTCGCATTGAATGTTAATGGCCTGTTGGATTGCAACTTGCGTCTTACTAACAGAGTCAAAAGGAGAGACATGGGACCCCGGCCTTGACCTATCCTTATTCACCATGGTTAAGAAACTATCCATGGGTAGAATAGGGTTTTTTGGAACATCATGGGCCTCTTCAACAACTGGAAATGTTAAGTAGATGTTTTATTTCTATTTTGAAAAGTATTATGGCCTTGGAGCCATCTGCAATTATTGGGCAAAAGACTATATGCTCATAGAAATAATCTTGATTTTCAGGTAAATTCATTCAGAATTCAAAGTGATATTGTGTATAATATCTACCAGATAAAAAAGTGCATCTAAAAATGGTTTCTCGTCGGATATCAGTTTTGAAAATGTCATTTCCAGGCAGGGTTACTAAGATTCCCATGGAGCCCATGTGATAAAATCATGAAATGTGACGAGTAATTACCTGGCAGTTCCCCAAGGTCCAAATCAATATGATTGGCCACTGAGATAGACGAATATGAGCGCATCGTTGTGTACTGCTCCTCAATCCAGCGAATCAAATTGCGACCAGAATGTACTTGAACCATAGTACGCATCTGTATTTCAACATTATGGAGTGCACTGTGGTCAACATTGTTGTTACTCTGAAAAACAGGAATAGAATGTGTTAAAAACATCAAAAATAAATAAGTAAATCTCAATCATTTATGATGATTGTTTAAAATATACTGTTCTTGATAATTATAATTAGTTGTTCACTGATCATTTATGAAATTCTACAATAGAAAGAATGGTCATTACAAAGGTAACTCGCATCAATTGTCCTCCTTCTCTAATTCTCTAATTAGAATCAATATCTGCATTCTTTGTACCCATGCAATACAACTAAAGTGTAAATATAGTACTCGATAACATGCTAGAACACCCAATTAAATTCTGGGAGTGGGAGGGATAAATTTTTGTTTCTGTTCCACTATCTCTATGATGTGAGACATACAGAGATATATGGTCACAAAGAAAACTCATGGCTTTAACAAAATCTCACTGCAAATTTCACCACTTCTTGTTATAACACAAAATATACAAAAAGCTATTTTATACAGAAGACCTCTACTTACCAGAATAATGATTGATCCTTTGAAGTTTCTTGACCGTAGTACCCACTGGACACCATGTTGTGACTTCAAAACCAGCACCAGATGGCGCTCTCCTCTTGATGAATCCAAGTTAACTGTGATGTCATTCTGTGACATCTTCAGCGGGTTTGTGTGTGTGGATGCCACTTCAATGATGTGGAGGTCACTGCAAGACAAGTTATTAAATCAAAAAAAAAGTTTAATGAATATCTTCAATTTTATTAGTCTGGCATTTAGACACTTTGCCCCCCCCCTCTCATGTGAGCCCTTAATGCGGAATATATATTAATTTCAATACTTAAATAATATATATTAATTTCAAAATTTTGATAATATACATAAATTTCAATTTTTTAATAATAAATATTAATTTCAATATTTTAATAATATATATATTAATTTCAGTATTTTAGTAATATATGTAAATTTCAATATTTTAATAATATATATTTATTTTAATATTTTAGTAATATATATTAATTTCAATATTTTAATAATATATATAAATTTCAATATTTTAATAATCAATCACACACATAGTTGCCGAGAATAAATAATACAAATATATGACTGAAACAACCTAATACTAATAGGGACATTGGAATAACATAATATCATGTTTCAGTATATTAGATTGAAAGAACACAATATTGTAGCAGTCAATCCCACTTGAAAACTCTCCTTCTCTATTGCACATATGAGGAGGTCATGCCCAAAAACATCGATGTAATTGCAAGGGCAATTTCAGTTAATATAGGCAATCCTATGAGGTGACGACCCTGGACCAAATTAAGATATAATCGCCATTAGGCTAAAATAATCACATTTTCTTAAATGATTTGTTGCAAATAACATTGCATCTGGACTAAAGATGGCAGCGAGGTTTATTATGATAATCAAAACTACTACTCAAGTATTTTTAGTTCACATCCAAAGGAATGATTCATTGATGAAAAGAAACTAGAAAAAAATCCTGTGAAAATATGTGCACTTAATGACTGAAATTCACTACAGTGATTTATGCGGAGATACCACAAATCTCAAAATCAAAAACAACCGTTTAAAAAGACATATTTGAACCTGAATAGACCAAAATCTTTTATGTATGATAATATTGTGGTTTCTCGTGCTAAAATTGTCACACTTATGACATCCGTTTTGAGCTATTTTAATTTAACATCCTAAAATTGAAATTGTAGTACGTTTACAGAATTTCAAATTTCACTTTATTCCCTGCTCCATATAATCTTTTTCACTCTAGTGTTCAAAGCAACTGCAGAGATATTTACCCTCATTCTCCATTTTCACTAAGGACAAAAGAGAACTTATATTTTAAAAGGAAAACAATGAAACACAAAATTCTCTGAGGCTTTCGTATCAACATGTAAATAGAGTAAACTATCAAGAATGACTGAGAAATGAAAAATAAATATTCAGGCATAAATCCCAAATCCTAAACTTTGATACAGATTGTGGACCTCCCTTCTAAAGCTATATAAGAAAAAAGGTTGGGACAAGTTAACTGGGATGAAATTTTGGAGATGGGATTTTAAGAGGAAACAAGATTGGGTTATCTCAGGGTCAACCTGAAGGAGGACAGAGTGACATTCCTAGACTAGACCTGGACCTATCGACTCTGCGCTCTTCATCCGTTTGTACTTTAAATGATAATATTTTGAAATCGATAACCCTCTCCTTAATGCACACTGCATGAGGTCCCAAGAAAATGTTTCATCTTAAGAGGAATCTCTCAAAGAAATTATTTTTGTTAAATATTCTAAAATATGGCTTCATGTTTATTGGGTTCACTTCTCAACATGAATGTAAAGATGCCATTTTTTGTTTCTCTGCTTATACGCAGAAGTGAGTAGCTCCCATAATTACTCGCCATTTTGTGGCCACTCAATGGTATTAATCAGCATTATGCAGATCAGTCGATATGGTATCCAATCAATGATTGTTTAGAATCTAAGATAGATATTACAAATACAGTGAATTTTGCACATTTTTGTTCTTAGTCCAAATTTTTATATGTCCCACTGACTCAAATATTTAAAAAAACTTGAAATGTGAACACCTGCTAGTCTGAACATATTAAGGCATTCAGATTAGACAGGTTTCACTGAGCTGTTTTACTGTAAAGGAGAGTCAGCAATTCTAACTTAAGGGTAGGCATCAATTCCAAGAGACAATAATATTTTTATTTAAATGTTGAGTATGATCTTCACATGTTTTTACTCTTGAAATATAGGCTCCCATGACAAGAGGGGGTCATATGCCTGATCATTTAATTCCATGCTTCTATTGCAGATAAGTAGGACACACATCATCTTCTGGCAGTATATGCTAAAAAGTATGAAATTCCAAGGTAGAATGAAACAATAAGTAGTGGATCTGTAACTCATCCCAGCAATGAAAACGTTAAGATCTTCCAATTAGATGATTCTTAATCCTTCTCAATTCCAGGAAAACCAATTGTAGTTTCAACGCATTGACGTAGAGGTTATGGACCATTGCTTTTTAATTAATTAGTCTCTTATTAGATCAAGAAGAAAAGTTGCCAGGCACCTAATTGTCTAATTCCCATTAAAATAAAATTTGTGAAGAATTACGTGTAACCTGACTTGAATTTGCTTTTGGTATGCAGTATATAATTGCCAGCATTGAAAAGATTGAGAATTTGAGCACAAGTGGGGAATAGTTAATGCTGATCTTGAAATCATCCTGGCTGATCTTGATTTCTATTTCAATGTCTATGAATCTACTATAGTTTCACAATGCAGAAGTTTTGTATTTGTCTAGTAAAAGCTCTCATCAACTGGAACAAGCTATTTTAAATCAAGTTTTCATTCAATGCTGAATATACACTATACGAGTATAATATTTCCCAATTTCCCATGGATTTCTTCATTCTCAATGCCCTCTCAAATTTTATTGAATGGAATCCGTCAGAATCCATTGAAATCTTGAAGAATATAAGAGCATATTCTTGGGAATAAAGGTTTCCTTGAATACATTTTTTAAATGGACATTTTAGAACTATCATTCTTGCAAACTTTCAATTCAAACTAATGATATTCTTGAAGTAAGACAATAAGCTGATTTTAGTGAAGTGCCCAACATTCCAGATATATGAGCACTGATATATACTGATTTTTGACACATGTGCATGGTCATGAAATATATAACAAACATTATTACACTTCATGTGTATAGTCATGTCTGCATACACTATATATAAGAAACAGGAAAAATATGAGACGTGAAGTTCAAGGAGAGCAATAGAAAGAATCATTACCCTGAGGCTTAGAGGCAAATCGTAATAATTACAACACTCTAAATAGATTGGTACTACTTTATGACCGCAAACCTAGCTGTTATGGCCTTTTTGATGGACCTATACTGATTAAGTAATGCTAGAGCAAAGGATTATCTCTTATAATAAGAGTACAGAAGAAACTCTCTTTTAAAGGCCCCATATAAAGTTTAAACCACTTTGGCTTATATTGAAGTCTCACCCAATGTTATTTTTTGAAAAAGAAATGAAGAAAATTGGTTGATAAATAAGCAAGAAATGAACTCATCCATGCATGAAAGTGTAGAAAAAAGAGAAAAATACATTTCAAATTTTTTTATTTCTAACAGAAACAAATGTTAAAATGATATTTAAAGCATAATATATTCCTTTTTCAACCTGGTTAGACAATCAATATTGGTTTATTATTAAAGTTAAGCATATTTAGAAAAGACTGACATAAAAATCTCTTTTTAAATTTCAAAAATATTTTGCCACCTGAGTGACACCACCATGATGCTACTTAGGTTGCAAAATATTTTTGCAATTATGTTTTTGAAATAGTATGTTCTTTGTTCAATCTTTGAAATGACTTTCATAAAAATCGTTTTTACTTAACAAAAAGGCTCTAAGTAACTCACCCAGTTGCCATAGGATCAGCACAGCCCTTAATATCTTGTGATTGGATGTAGCGTGATTGTGTCATTGATGATGGTTCATTTGACAATACACATGTGGCAGGGGCATCTGGTTCTACAAATGAATAATAACAACAACTAAAATATTAACATCCCAAAAATCTAACAAATATAAAGAAAACCCATTCACAGTATTTGAGTTATTTTCCTGATAGACAGTCTGATGGTTTATCAGACACATCTGAATCTGAATTATAGCCTTTTTAAATGACAAGAAAAAGGCTGAAGCAAATCAACACAACATTTTTGGGACTTTGGCTAAAAAGGGATTTTTAAACAATAAAAAAGTACGAGCATTCTACAAATGTGGCCAGTGAAACAACAATAACTGACACAAGCTCATGTTTTTTATACTGTATGTAGTAAATAAGGACAATTTGGAAAAGATTTAACTAATAAGGTAAAAAAAGTACCAACATTGTAAACAGACAGATGGACAAACACATCCTAGTGAGTGACCCAATAGTGTACCCATTAGAGCTAAAAATACATGAAACAAATAAACGAATCAACTAACCTATCCCGACAGACTGTTGAATGTGATTGGCTTGTTTGATTTCCGAGAATCCAGTAACAGCATCATACCTCAGCCTAACCCATTTCAAAAGCTCTGTTGATCCAGGGGCGATGTCCAATGGCTTGACCACAGTTAGGTTAATTCGACCCACTTTCCGCACACGAGAGTCATGATTTACCTGGAAGCACAGAAATATGCAATATGAGTTATGATAAATTACAAATCTTGGTATTAAGTCAATATGAAATGCAAATAGAAAGAAATCTAGTCAACTGAACTAAAGATTCGTAATTAGTTATTTTATGCATTATGCAGCTTTTATAAGACCTGGGGTGTACTAAGGTTGTGAGGATATTGCTAAAACATAAGAATTCCCAGAGCGCTTATGAGAGAGCACAAGGTCTTTCCAGCTCTATCTCCAACAACCCAAGTATTTCCTGGAGAGCAAGGATTTCAGTCAATAAGGGTAATAATACCTGGGTCCTTCCACAAATCAAGTAATGTATGACAAGAGGCATGATTCCAATTAGAAAGATTTGCATTTGAGTCGTTGAAGTTCCTAGAGCAGAATCAAATAGTTTTGGAGATATGTTGTAAAACCTATCTAATCACTCGTGGTTCTGATTGAAAGGTATTCATATTTCAAGTTTTAACAATGGAAGTCTTTAGATACAACAAGGCATTAACATGCAAAACGTAACAACCTGCTATTTGTTACAGACACCAAACACCAACCACCGGACACTGACCACCATCCATAAAAAATGTTGGAGACCATAGCAATTTGTTAACAAAAGTGGTGGTGACATAAAAAGGGAACCAACCACCCTGCAAAAGTGTTATTATATTGGTGTTCAGATGAGAATGGTGTTTGAATAAATAGGTTTTACTATGCAGAAGTATGAGGGTACATAAATGTAGCCCATAAACTCGAACCTCTGAATGCTTATTAAATACAAGAACAACAAGTAAGTCATGGGTCAAAAACCTATCACTTAGTAGTAACATCTCAGATTGATGATGCAAATAGTGTAGAAATAACGATAAGTGATTCTTTGCAGTGAAGGATACCCCAAGTCATAGCCTGTCTGATATCTAATATCTAAAACTTACTATCATTTAAACCTGAATGAATCTGTTCACTTGCACTTTTACAATTTGAGCCTATATGAATCAGTAGTAGCCTCCAAATGTCATTTTTGTATCTTTTATCAACATCATCTAGAGATGCCATGATATAGTGTATTATGGGATCTAGCAGATTCCAGAACAAAGCACTTTTGAGATCTTTTATCCCAGTTGATCTTTTATCTAAATGGGATAATGAAAATCTTGTGATAATGTCTCCCTCACCAGGGGATTTATTTACCTAAAATAATGACATTAAGAATATATAAAATGATGCCTATTATATATAATGTTTGGATATAAAAGGCAGGAATACAAAACATTGTGAAAGCTATTAACTCTACCAATCCTGTGCAATGCTAGTACCAAAACGGAAATATATGAATGATGAACTTTAATCTTAGTTACAGTCCTTTTCAATATGAATTTGCGTTCTTAAAAGAGAGTTTCATATGCAGTAGCAATTACTATTTTAATCTACAGGCCTCAGGGTAAGTATAATGAACAGCCCCAGGAAAACAGGCAAAATTAAAAAATTAGATGTAAATGAATGGAGGGACCACTACAGTTTGCATTGCTCCCAAGGCTGTATATGAGGATTTGTTACGTAGAAAGATATCCCAATGTTATAGAGAAATAAGTCTAGAAAATAACTTATAATTGTGGGATCCACAGTCTGCAATACTATTCCTTGGAATACCCTCTCAAGGATTATATAAAGAGGGACACTCTGATAAATCACAATGTTTACATAGTAAAAATTCATAGTTTGATATCATGCAATATTAATGTGTTTTATGGATGATGCTTTACATCTATCAATAAAAGACTGGAAATCATTATCTCCATTATATAGCATGTAGAGAATAGGGGCAAATCTGATTCATAATTCTTGGTCATAATATATTACACTATGTTATTGTGTCAGATAATTATTAACACACCTTCCAGTTTTTTTGCATGAAAAAAGTTGTAGATTTTATTGATTCATCTCAACAGTATATTAAACGTAAGCTAAACGTATACATGGATTTTAGGATATATCACTCAGGAATACTTAAAAGATCCAGAGAAATTGCAAATTCTGCACATAAAGAAATTCTATAGTTACTGTGCTGTAAAACAGAGAATGACATGAAAGGAGATAAAAATGCAAGAATGGGGGAGTGAAAGATGAAAATATAAGAAAGAATGAAATGAGGGGAATGAGGAGAAATGGAACAAAAATGGAGAACAGAAAGAAAGGGATGTAAAGCCCTGTATACATGTATACTGTAAATTGAGTTTCAATTGTTTGAATTGTTTGAATTGTTTCAATCAGTTCAATAGTTTCAATGCATGAATCATTTCCTCTGTTTCAATGCTTGCATCATTTAAAACTTTTCAAGCATTTCAATCGATTCGCCTTTGAAAATGAAGCATAAGTTTTGCTGCTTGCGCCTGTTTGCTATTTCAATCTTTTCAATCACATGACCAATTCAGGAAGAAATGGCGAAACGAATGAAAAGAAAAAAAATGAACATGAATGTTTCAAGTATTTCACCAAGGCTTTTCAACTGTTTCAATCTTTTCAATCAAAACATCTTTGAAATTAAAATAAGTTTCGCTGCTTGTGCTTGTTTCGCCATTTCAGCCATTTCAAGCAGTTCCGCCATTTCGTCCTCTTTTCAAGCATTTTGCATGCCAGTGTACGGACGGACAGACGGACAGACGGACAGACAGACGGACAAGTGAGCGATTGCAAAAGCTCACCATGTGAGCTAATAAGAGGAGATGAGAATGCAAGAATATGAGAATAAAATGATATGGGAATGAAAGATGGGAAAAAATAAAAGTTTGGAATGAATTGAAAGAGGAATGCAATAAGTGGGAAAACAATAAGAGATGGTAACTACAGAGACAACGGAATAACAGAAATATCCAGATAAAGATAATAGGTCATACCAAAATAGGGTAACTTTTGGATCTATTGAAAATATGCAAGTAAAATGAAGTGAATGTGAAGATGAGTCTTGCTAACAATGTAGATAGTTACTACCACATAGAACATTTCATGTGGTCGCCTATGCTCATGATTTAAAATGCAAAAATAATGTAAAAATGACAGAAATAAGCAAGGAATCGAGTAAGTAGTATAGTAATTTGTTCATAATCTGAACAGAAACATCTGAAATGCTGATATCTCATTCAATTATAAATCAGAAATAGAATAGAATAAGTATAATCATTGAGATATTTTATGCAGGGGTAGCTATTGTTTAACAGATACATTCCCCATGCATTAAATTTCTCTGGTCATTCTATTTAACAGGTTTACTGCCAGTCATTGTAACAGTTCTCTGCAATACAGAATCTTGACTTCATTCCGGTTTAATTAATTCTATGCCAATACACATCTTTTGTATTCACCATTAAAAAGTACTGCCATGATATTGGTAAAAATCTCCCAGGTCCACTTAACATTAATCAAGCTGCAGTTTAACATTAGCTCATGTTAAAGAAGCACCCCAACCACACCCAAGTTATTCATATTAAAAATACATTAAAGCTTTGAAATGTATATATTTTCTGAATTTCCAATACAAATAACATAGTACTATAATAGCATTTGAACTGTAAAAATTATCAATTCAAAGCTTAAGAAATTTAAGATGTTAGCTTTTCTTAATTGGCAGAAAATGTTTTAATGTTAACAACTTCCAAGGTTGTGGTTTTTACATCAGTAAATTGTGGTCAGAAGAACCTGGGAATTGCTGAGTGAGTTATGCAGTTCAAATGCAGTGCAAATTTCAGTTTCTCATTCAAAATAAAGTTGTTTCAATTGCAGTTTATAATTCCTTCACTTTCTGTAGTGTACCATTCCAATAAAAGATGTTCTCAAATGAACACTAATTAGACAATAATCACGAGTGAACAAAATTTCCATCTTGAACACTGCTTTCTTATGATAAACATTTTTCTACAGTAAACATTTCCTTCCAAATATATTGGTTAAGAAGATTTCAGTCGATAGAATAGTCAATAAAACTGGAACAACAACCTATGGTAGGCCACTTCCATGTTGTACTACTATTTATTGACATTAGTATTGCATCAAGTCTATTTTACCTAACATTAAAAGGACTTGAAGCAGGACTAAGTGATCATTTTTTATTGTTATTTTATGACTCTATATATGCACCCTCCACATATAAACCAGGAAACTTCCCTACTCTTGTGAAGAACAACTGATCATGAAGGTACTTAGAAAAAATGCTTGCTGACATTCTGCCAATGTGTTTAACACAACAATGTAGGCACCTGTTGGTCACTGTCAAACTTATTTAGAAGCTATGAGACTTGCCATTAGGATTCATACTGAGATAACAGTAGCTGTTGATAGGTATCAAAACATCAAAGATTGAAGCTACCATTTTTTATCATCTTTGTTACACATCATCTTCAAGTTCGCAGGGTTATTAAGGACCTATTTACACAAGTTAATATTGTGCAGTGCAGTGCAGTGCAGTGCTGTATTAAGGAGATGGTATTCCATAGAAATTCTTTTTATTCATTTTAACAAAATTGTCTAAATTGTCTATCTTTGTCTGTGCACTATCCCTAGTAAGTAAACCTTTTGTTCATGGATGCCCCATACCAACACAAAAATCTGGATCTGTCCTTGATAACTTGGAATGAACTCTGAACTCTGCTAGCACCGTAGCATTTAATTTCAAGCCCACCTCAGATATTTCAACTAATTTTTCACAAAAATCTGATTTTCCTGTATATTTTAGAGTATTGACTATTTTACAATTTACAGTTGTACTTTATCTCTTACTGTTCATAATCCTTTATGTTCACCATATTGACACTGAAAGAATATTTATACTAATACTAAATTCATAACTTTTGTTTTAAACTGGCTTACACTATGACAATTTAAAGTAGAACAATTTTTGGACTAATGGTTCAATATACATGGAATGCTACTCTGCTTTCTCATTCTACCCATCTTATACATAATCCCCTCCCATAGCAAGGATACAAGATCCAGAGTGTCTTCTCTCT